TGGGGCTTCAACAACGTGCGCATTCGTCAAGGCAACGAGTGGAAGGCAGCGTTTCGGACAAACCGCGGGCTCTTTGAGCCGTTGGTGATGTATTTCGGCCTGACCAACTCCCCCGCAACGTTCCAGACAATGATGAATGACATACTTCAGGACCTCATCCTCTCTGGCGACGTTATGGTGTACCTCGACGACATTCTCATCGCACATTCCGATATCCACTGTCACCGGTGATAGGCTGGCTACCAGACGCGCTCTGCACCAGCTCTGTAAGGGCGTATTTTTGCGCTTTTTACAGAGTTTACTCCTGAACCACTCGGTGTATCGTGTCGCGGTTGACAGTGTTGCGCTCAGTAGGACTTATGGGTCTACTGCCCAGTCGACGACTGTGGATAGTGTCGACGATAGCAAGGCAGTCAGACCACTACTGTGGAACTGGTCTTATGAGTCTATACCAGGCTCAGGGCCATTAGTGACGAACGCTTGGACCGCGACCATTCCCCAAAAGGGATCTGTCGTTGCGTCGACTTCTCAAAAAGGGTCATTCCCTGCAGATGGGAACTTGGGCTGAAGGACTGAGCAATGCGCAACGTTCTCAATAATAGAACTATTACTGGACAGGACTTGGCGTTACGAGACTTAAACCATCTTGTCGCGGCAACTCCCGGTTTTGAGTTGGACGTTCCCTCAGATCATGCCACGACGACGACTTGTCACATGTCAGGATCCATTCGATCACAGGACATTGAGGACGCGTCGCGGTGACACTCCCAAGTGTCACGGCGAGTCGCGTCCATACCCAAACACACTAAAATCGACACGGCTAGATCCATGAACCGAACCATGTGGGGGACGACTGGCGTGCCTAGAGCCATACGGCTTCTTGGGGCGCCCACGTTGGTCTCACTTGCCAAGACATACTTGTTGGCCAATCCAACACGTCGTATTCCAGAAGTATGACGCGGTGGGTTGACCCACATCAAAAGTATCATATGGACTATGGGGCGGGGTCCTGATCACTCAGGACCTGTCCGATCGTTCAACTTTTCAATTACCCTAAAAGGCAACCGATCTTAGATAGCGTAGCTACTATGCAGTTGTACAGGACTTTACTAAGCAGCGTCGTAGACAGTATAAGTAGCACGTCGTCTCTTTGTATTAGAAAGCTTTCGCCCGGACTGTGAATCACTATCATTTCAGATTGTTTTGTACAATTTGCGTGCCGCGTGATTCCACCCTAAGAAGTTCTGCCATCCCTGCCCGGTCGCGACGAGTTGCTCCCTGAGCACTTGTAGCTACTGTGATTTGAGTTTGAGTTGAGATATCAGAAAGTCGGATTCGCCGCATCTGGTATTGTCGCGGCATTTAGTGTCGTCGCCTTAGGGCTTTGTTGAGATCGTTCCACACCTCTAGCTTGGCAGTGCGTCGACTAGTTGTGCTCGGGTTGTTTTGGTCAGTTGGCAGTGCGTCGACTTGAGAACTTTGGTTCCACACTTCTTGCTTGGCAGTGCGTCAACAAGTTGTGCTCGGGTTTTGGACATTGGATATTGGCTGTTAGTTGGCAGTGCGTCGACGCGGCATTTTGGTTTACTAGTTGGCAGTGCGTCGACTCAGTACTTTTGGTTGTGTCAGTTGGCAGTGCGTCGACTTGACATTTTGGTTCTACTAGTTGGCAGTGCGTCGACTCAGTATATTGGTTGTATCGGTTGGCAGTGCGTCGACTTGATATTTAGGGCTTTGCGTCGCCATCTAGACGCTGTCGCTACAAGGGATCTTAATACTTCGTATTAAGCTCTGACTTGTCATATTGTTGGTTGTGGATTTTATTAGTGTTGGTTGTGCTCGTATAGAAGATATTGGTTGAGACACCACTGTTTGCTATATATATATATATATCCTTGTCGTCGACTTCGTCTTCCGCGACTATTGGATCTGCGTCTATTGAGAGCTGTGATACTGGTGTTCTGTCCACCCCGAAGCCCTCGCATCTTTCACACACTGAGAAGCTGATTACGAGGAGTGTGAACGTGTTTATATTTGGGTTTACTTTCATAGTAGATTCACTTGTGAGCACGCCCTCAGCATTTCACCGGGAAATCGTGAACGAAGTCCTCCGACGTCTCCGCGAGAACAAGCTCTACCTTCGCGCGGAGAAATGCGAGTTCGAGATGCCGTCGATCGAATACCTCGGGGTGATCATTTCCCACAACCATGTGGAGATGGACCCGGTCAAGGTCGCAGGTGTGGTGGAGTGGCCAGCTCCGGCTAACAAGAAGGAAGTGCAGCAGTTCCTCGGCTTCACTAACTTCTACCGGAGGTTCATCCGGGATTTTTCGCACATTGCCCGTCCTCTCTTTGACCTCACCAAGAAGGATGTGGCATGGACTTGGGGCGCCAACGAAGCGGCTGCGTTTCTTGCGCTGAAGAACGCCGTTACCTCTACCCCAGTCCTGCAGCTCCTGGATGCTTCCAGGTCTTACCGCCTCAAAGCGGACAGTTCGGACTTTGCGACCGGTGCTGTCATCTCGCAGCAGTCCCCCGTGGATGACAAGTGGCATCCGGTTGCCTTCTTCTCGAAGAGTCTTAACGAGGTCCAGCGGAACTACGAAATCCACGACAAGGAGATGCTCGCCATCGTCCGTGCCTTGGAGGAGTGGCGACACTTCCTCGAGGGCGCCGAGCACCCCGTTGAGATCTGGACCGACCACAAAAATCTGGAGTACTTCCGGAAGGCCCAGAATCTCAACCGTCATCAAGCCCGCTGGTCCCTCTATCTGTCTCGCTTCGACTTCACCCTGCACCACCAACCTGGCCGCCTCATGGGCCGCCCGGATGCTCTCTCGCGCCGCCCCGACCACGGAGTCGCTTCGGACAACGCAGACGTCACACTGCTGCACCCGGAGCTGTTCCATGTCCGGACCTTGGAGGGTCTCACTATCTCTGGACCCGAAGCCCCTCTCCTGCGCGACATCCGGGAGGCCCTCGCCGGTACCCCCGACATGGAGGAGCCCATTGTGTTGGCAGCACGTGAGCTCCTCAAGGAACGCGGAGTTCGCTCTGCTTGGGCTGCGGAGTGGCGAAAAGAAGGTGGCCTGCTCTACTTCCGTGGCAAGCTGGTGGTTCCACGCAACAACAACCTCCGCCGACGCATCCTCGAGCAGCACCACGACACCCGCGTCGCAGGGCATGCCGGCCGCTTCAAGACGTTGGAGCTGATCTCTCGGAACTACTGGTGGCCCCAGTTGTCTCGACACGTCGGCCGGTATGTGGCCACCTGCGACCTGTGCTGCCGAACCAAGGCGCTCCGCCAACTCCCAATCGGGGAACTCCACCCCACGGAGGTCCCTTCAGAGCGCTGGGAAGCGGTGTCAGTTGACTTCATTGTGCATCTGCCAGACGCTCACGGGTATGATGCTATCATGGTCGTGGTTGACATGCTTGGGAAGCGCAGCCACTTTATAGAGTGCCACACCCGGCTCTCCGGTGAAGGTGCCGCCAGGCTTTTCTACAAGAACGTCTGGCGCCACCATGGGCTGCCGTCTAAGTATGTCTCTGACCGTGGCTCCCAGTTCATAGCAGAGTTCATGCAGGAGCTGTGGAAACTGGTCGGGGTCTCATCGGCAATGTCTACGGCTTGGCATCCACAGACGGACGGCCAGACCGAGCGTGTGAACCAGGAGCTCGAGCAGTTCCTCCGGATCTTCACCAGCTACAACCAGGACGATTGGGACAAGCTGCTTCCCGCTGCCAAGTTTGCCTACAACAACCATATTCACTCATCCACGCAGCAGGTCCCGTTCATGACCGACACCGGTCGACTCCCTCGCATGGGCTTCGAGCCAAATGGACCACGCTCAACTGTGAACGAGTCGGCAAACGACTTCCGCGACCGCATCGCGTCTGGAGTTGCGGAGGCCAAGTCGGCACTGGTGAAGGCAAAGGATGAGTACAAGCAGTACTACGACCGCCGGAGGGTCTCGGCTCCAGACATCAAGGTCGGAGATTGAGTCTGGCTTGACGCTTCTGACATAGCAACAAGGCGCCCGTCCCTCAAACTCTCTCACCGACGGCTGGGTCCCTTCAAAGTCACCCAGGTTGTTGGGCGCGGCGCTTACAAGCTTGACCTCCCTCGCTGCCTCTCTGGTCTTCACCCGGTCTTCCCCGTTGTCAAGCTGCAGCTCGTCGAGGACGACCCGTTCCCAACACGCCCGGCTCGCGAGGAGCCGCCACCTGTCATAGGCCAAGGAGCTGGCGAGGAGTGGGAAGTCTAAGAGGTTCTGGATGCCAAGATGCGCTATCGGAGCATTTGGTACTTTGTGCGGTGGAAGGGCTACGATTCGTCGCATGACCAATGGGTTAAGCACTCTGATATCTTCGCAGAGGACGCTATAGCGGCATTCTACCGCAAGCACCCCAACAAGCCACGCATCATTGCCGCCGCCATCTTCGACTCCCTTCCGTTCCAGCACCCCTCTGCCACCATCTGCACGTTGCGTCGAGGCGCCGCAATCCAAGGGGGGGGTGATGTCAGGGGAACCCCCGTTTCGGACCGCTCTGCCTTTGATCAGGCATGTGATTGCGCTCGCGTGACCTGTCAGCTGTCACGTACCGCGGCCCGGACTGCCGCGCCGAGCGCTTCTCCTTGATGGGCACATAGCCAGGTGCCCCATTGTTCCTATTGTCCCCGCTCCCATTGTTCTGTCATGGCCATTGTACTTATTATCCCCATTGTTCTTTGTTTGTTGCTGCGTGCTCCATTGTTCTTGTATCATATAAATAGTGGCGCCTGGCAAGGAGAATCCCCAACACGGTTTCTCTTTGGATTCTCCCTTGCCAGGTATGCCGGTCTTGTACCTAGCTACCACTATTAATCACCTTTGGATTCTCCCTTGCCAGAACTCTGAGATCGGGTCTCGAGGTTGCCCTTACAATATGGGTGACTCAGAGGACAAAACTGATCTTGACAACATTGACGAGGGGTCAGAGGTCTCTGACAAGTCCACAGTGACACTTCACATGAATCATCTCTGTCACGGTCCCCAAGCCCATCCCCAACTGTTCCTCTCCTCTCCTCGGACTCTGAAGGCAATGATGATGCTCCACAGTCTGAATTGCTTGATGACGAGACTCAAATCATTGGTATCAATGGTCACCGATGGAAAATGAACAATCTAGAGTTCATGGTGGCGTGGGCGGATGGCGATGTCACTTGGGAACCACTGTCAAATGTGAACGACTGCCAAGGGCTGGATGAATATCTTGATTTTCGTGCAGCACTCGACCCATTGCAGCTGTCCAAGCGGAGATATGTGATTAATAAAGAGCTCAGGGCCCTCAATGAGTAGTTCTGTACTCCATTTATGCTCCCGTAACATTATACATACATGTGTGTTGAGGACGTAGCGCTGGAATCACGGAAACGGTCAAAATGACGGGACCGGCCCGGATCACCGTACTTTGCCGGTTGGGACTTCTCCGCCAAAAATATTCCCACAGCTCGACACGACCTCGCCAAAAATATTCCACTACCTGCACATCTTAGAATGGGTCCTTGCCCTTAGATTAGAGCGCCTAACGTGCTGGATTGTCCATTCCGATCATAAGCAACGGGCCGCACACCCTAAGGTGGCCCGGTACCTGCTATCGTACAGTACCCATGTCTCCTAACTGGCTCACTGAAACTTGCAGTACCACAAAAAAAGCTTCTTGCCGTTGATGCCAGCGACGGGGACGATCTACTTACTAAAGACTAGGGGACAGATCGGTGCGGCACTCCAGCGTGTTCTGCAGCTCATCCAAGTTTCCCAGTTCTGAGTGTTCATTTCTGCAAGATCAAATATCGACTACTCTCTTACCGGAGTCATGCTGCTCTTCTCGGTCATAGCCGCTGTGTCCTTTGACAACACCAAATACCGGGCCGCCCTTTTTGTACATCGTACGCAAATCATGGACAAGCGAATCCGGGGCTTCATATGCAGCAAAGTGGCCGCCGCGCCCGTGCTTGTTCCGGTAAACAATGTTGCCGGTGGCATTGGTCCAGCTGAGAACGAAATGCCGAGGATGAGCGCACGTTTAGGGGTCGATGGAGTACACATACCTGACTGGTATAATGCCCTTTTCGCCGGGAAAATGAGACATGCCCATCGGGATGGTCGGGTACTCTGCGGGTACATAGATGTCCTTCATCACATCCGACCGGCCCTCTGCAAACTCATAATAGAGACGGATGGACGAAGTGGGCCCGGCCCGGGAGAACCAGTAGATGGATATCCAGGTCAGGACTATCTTCATCAATGACCAGCAGACAACGAAGAGCGAAAAAGCACACACCTTCGTCGTCATCCCAAGGGTACTTGTCCGTCCATTCCACCAGCTTCTCGTAGATCCAGGCTAGCAGTCCGACGGGAGAGTCGGCCAGCGCGTAGCCCACGGTCTGCGGCCGCGTCGATTGCTGGGCGTAATAGCCTCGTCCATGGCCGTTGAACCATGCCGCCTCCGCAAGGCCGGCCTTTTCCTCCTTTGTCAGACCTTTCAAGCATAAAGCCAACCATGAAAGCGGCTCATAGTAAAGCGTAGGGGGACGGCCCCTATATTGAATGAGATGAAACAGCGGCGTCTAGATGTATGGACCACGCACAAGGGGAAGTTGGTGTGCCAGGCTTTGTTGTGCTGGTGGCCGTAGCGCTTGGCGATGCGGCGCGTAATCTGCGAAAGCGTGAGACGGAAACATTGGAGATGGATCAGGGGTCAGCGTACAAAGTAGCCCCAGTCGCCTCCTTGCGTCACTGAATCGGGTGTCAGTGTCGAAGACGCGCGAACTGAGGTCCACCATAACTCACCGTATTCATTGTAGCCCAGTGCCAGCATGATTTTGTGGCCGACCTACGCCTTGTGAGACTCGCAGACATATGTTAACACTGCTGATGCGAACCTCAGCTTGTTGCTCAATAGCGAAGCCCTTCTTTTTAGGAGCCTCAGAGAACCCGTACCCCGCCAGACTCATTACAACAACGTGAAAACTCGGATGTTCAGGCGAACGCGCGACGAGCAAGGGCAGGATCTTCCTCGTCTCGAAGAAGCTGCCCGGCCCTGCGGAGTATGAAAACCAGAGTCAGTTCACCTAATGTACCGAACATCGCGATGACAAAGGCAACGTACATCCGTGTACGAACAACAGCGGGATCGCGCCCTGCACCTCACTCTTCTGATGAATGTAGTGGATGTTGAGCGTCCCGTGTCCGTCTACCGTGATGTCGCGCGTGAATTGGGGCAATTCCGCATTGAGAGCGGCTTCGTGCTTCCGCCAGTCGTAGCCGTTACTCCACCGGGCAACGAGCCGCTTGATGTCCGCCAAGGGCACACCGTAGTCCCATGCCGCCTCGTCCAGCTCGTCCGGGAGTCTGGTAGCTTTGAGCTTCTGTTGTAGCGTGGCGAGGCGTCGTCCGACACGGCTATGGTGTATGGCGTCTCTGACATTGGTGGGAATAGAAAGAGCTGTGCTAGTAGCGAAGGAGTGGATGAGGGAGAGAGAAAGTTTGAATCTCGTGGACATTGCGTCCCTTTTTAAGTGAGCCGGGTACGTACCCTGGTCCCGTCCACAAGGGTCTGCCCAGTGTCATGTCGTTGGTCAGCCGCAATGGCCTTGACTAGAGCGCTGACGGCTATTGGAACAATCCACAGGCCCGGTATGAATTGCTTGCTGACATCACTGCAACGAAGCGACAGAAGCCCAATAACCCTTGAGGTAGATTCGCCCGTCTGTGTCTGATGGTCGTACCCATCGAATGGCACTGACCTGGCTAGGCCATCACGGGATGCACCGACGGATGAGACCAAACACCGACAGGGTGTCATTCGCACGTGCACTTGCACACTTTGTGTCCCAACCACCGAACATCGTTGCTTCCGGTGACGGACTGGCCTATCTATCCGACAAGTCCTGACGTGTGGCAGTGCATGTCAATCAGCAATCAGTGGGCGCACGCTTCGCACACAACTGAGGGTCTCCTCAATATTCCTCAGCCCTGGCTATTCACTGGTTCGTCCAGCCCTGCATATATTTTGATATTCACATCCCTGGACTGCTGTCTGCACATTTATCTCTACACCCCTGCCTTTCTTACTTCACCATCCACTTGTACCTGTTTTTCCCCTCTCACTTCCCTGGTTCCTCTGTTCACCGTCCCTTGCTCCATCCTGTCGATATTTCACCCACTCTGATGATTATTTCATTGTCTCACATACAAAAGCTTGTAGTTGGACAAAAGAAAAATAGATTTATTCTCCTCATAGTCTTGAGTTCAGTTCTCGTCTTCAGCTCGTTTCTACTTGGGTATTTCGACCCTCGGCTTCGTCGCATCCGTCCCACGCCGCCCTCGACTTCGTCCCACGTCTAAAATCATCATTTCTTACTGCCTGCCACGGCACTGAATCTTGTGGACCTCCTCGCACATCACACTTATTCCTGCACTGTTTTAGGTCGTAGCTGACCCCCATTTTGTGTTAGCTCGCGCCTATTCCGTCCGCAGGCACGTCATTTTGGAGCCCACCGCGAGGGGATTTCAACATAGATTCTGGTGCCTCTCGCAGTCTGCGACACAACAATCATTCTGAGCTACGTCGCACGCTCCGTGAAGAGCTAGCTGTTGCTCTCAACGACCCCACAACTCTCTCTTTCGACGACGAACACCTCTTTGACATTGTCCCCAGCGCCCTTGCACAACACAACAACCTCTCACCGCATTCCCCGAGCTCTCCAACGCTATCCTGGCTCTTTGATTCGCCTCCAACAACGCGTTCACCATCCCCCCTTCACAACACGAATATTCCTTCTCAAAATATGGCTACTCCCACTCCCATGCCAGCCAGAGGCGATCGAAACGCCCCAGTCTTTGATTCGTCCAAGCCCCACGAGTTGCGCCGTTATTTCCTCGATCTGGAGTTCCTTCTAGCTCGATCTGCCGTCACTGACGCTGCCCAAATGAAGGGGCATGCGGTCAGATTCCTTTCCGTCGAAGATCAGGAGATTTGGGAAGGTCTACCGTCATTCTCAGACGCCAACAAATCGTACCACGACTTCAAATTGGACGCCCTCAGCCTCTACGCAGGGAACGACACAGATCGTCGTTTCAGCCTCGACGATTCGGACATGCTCGTTGGGCAGACATCTCGCATGGGAATCCACACAAAGGACGACCTCACACAATTTTATCGACGATTCCTACACATCACAACATTCCTGATTAGCAAACAACGACTCTCTGTGGCAGAACAGAGCCGATTTTTCCTTCGAGCTATGAATCCAGCCTCGTTGTCCGTCTCAGTTCGCCAGAGACTTCAGATCAAGAAGCCAGACGTTCACCCTGAGGATCCATATGATTTGTCAGATCTGTACGACGCTGCTAAATTCGTCCTTTCAGGATCATCGACCTTACTTCCTGGAATGCCCACGTCTCAGCCCGGAACCGAGCTCACAATCAAATCAGACCCTGGAATTACTGCACTAGTTTCATCCGTCTCAGATCTAGTTCGAATAATCGCTGCTCAACACGCCAATCCTGGTGCCCCAGCACAATCACAGTCCGCCAACGCCCTGCCCCGCCGTCGCCGTCCTGATGGCTGCAGTTATTGCAGTGATCTCGAGCATTTTATCAGCCAATGTCCCCACGTTTCGACGGATATTCGAGACGGAAAATGCCGCCGCAATGTGGATGGGAAAGTCGTCCTCCCCTCAGGCGCATATGTGCCAAATATTGTCCAAGGAAAGGATCTTCGAGAGCGCATTCAGAAGTGGCATGAAGCGAACCCAGGTCAGGCAGCAGCTCCGCAGATGATTTTGGAAGTTTCTCACCAGAATTTGCTGTCTTCTGCGGCGCCTGGGCTCGTTCAAACGTTCAAACTCACGGACGAAGAACGAATGGCAGTTCTGACGGCTGAAATTAATCAACTACGCACACGGGCCCAAGCTAAACGCGCTATGGAAGTTGCTAATCAACCAGAAGTCCCTGAACGCACTATGCCACCGGCGGTAGCGCGAAATCCAGTCGTTCCACCTGTTCCAATCGAAACCGTCCCTCCTGCGACCGCCCCTGCTGCTCCAGTTGCCCCGCCTCAACCCCCAATCCATCCGTACGCCGCAGCTCGTGATGGCGCTTACGCACCGCCCAAAGAACGAAATGTTGGGATTCCAGCGCAGAAATCACAACCCCCACGCTCTTCGGCTCCGATCTACAACCCCAAAGATGCTGCAGCTGTTTTCGACGCCATTTTGGACATCCCTGTCACCCAGACGCTTCGCCAGACCCTGTCGATTGCCCCAGAAGTCCGTGCTCAATTCCGCGAAGCCACTAGTTTCCGTCGTCCCCCTGCCAAGACTGGCGAGGCAGTGCCTCAATTCCTGCATCCTGTCACTGATAGCACGCCCTACGACCTTCCATATGCTCAGGACGACTCAGATTTGGTCGAAAAAGTGCTTCAGCAGCAACGAAACGAAGATGCACGCCTTGCTTTGGCTGCGGAGCATTTTCCAGTCGCCTACAGCCAGACGTTGCCCCCAGACGCTTGGGTGGTCCCAGATAAATTCGCCGTCTACTACGATCAGACTGGAAGGTTGCCAGACAATCTAGTTGTGGCTGCCGAGTCCCTGGCCATCCGCTCGATCCTCCCAGTGATTGACAACCAGCAACAAGTGGAATGCATCGTCGACAGTGGTTCTCAGATTATTTCGATGTCCCAGGCAACCTGTCACGAGTTGGGACTTGCGTATGACCCTCGAATCGTTCTACAAATGCAATCTGCCAATGGAACAATCACACCGTCGCTTGGACTAGCCCGAAACGTCCCGGTTCGCATTGGGGACATCACATTGTACCTACAGATGCACATTCTGCGTGACGCTGCCTACGACGTGCTCCTGGGACGACCATTTGACGTTCTGACGGAAAGCGTCATTCGAAACTTTTCCAACACGGATCAAACACTCACAATCACCGATCCCAACACTGGAAAGACGGCTACTGTGCCTACTGTGCCCCGCGGATCTCCCCGTGCCCGTTCAGAGGGTTTTCGCAGCTCGAGGATTTGATTCCTGATCAAGGAGAGTACGCCTTTGTGATCGAGGCCAGCCCAGATCAACCAGAACGCTACGTATTTTCGTCCTATGCCCCCATTTCTCTCACAGACTCTCTTGCGCACATACAACATACTTATCTCTCTGCCTGTAGCAATTTATCCGCACACAGTTCGACTATTTCTCTTGCACATACAGTTGTTCAACCGGCGTTTTCCTCAGCGACCCAGGATTCAACTCCTGGTTCAAAATTCGTTCCCATATTTTCTTTGAAGTCGTCTCGTACCTATCCTACTGCTACGTCTCCTTCATCTCAATTCTACCCGTCCACGTCACAATTTGCTAACAAAAAGTACAAGCCAGTGGCCAGGAAAATTCGGCCTGTTCTTGGATCTGTCCCAGACGAATTCCGCATTGAGCGCCAGATCCTGGGCGACCCACTCGCAGATCTACCATATCTGGATCCTATTCCGCCTCCTTTTGTGCCGACTGGACGCTACACCGCCGAACGCAAGGCTGCTCTTGACGACGCACACCGCGGTGACTTCCTGTGGCCTGCTGAGAGAGATTTAATGCACCAGTTCATGTGCCTTCACCAAGGAGCCTTTGCATGGCAAGAATCAGAACGAGGACGTTTTCGAACCGATTTCTTTCCCCCTGTCAATATCCCAGTCATGCCGCACACACCGTGGGTCCAGCGCAATATCCCCATTCCCCCTGGGATCTACGATCAAGTCTGCGACCTCATACGCTCGAAAATCGCTGCTGGAGTGTACGAACCATCCAATTCATCCTATCGATCCCGTTGGTTCTGTGTGGTGAAGAAAGATGGCACCAGCCTTCGTTTGGTTCATTCCCTGGAGCCACTCAACGCCGTCACAATTCAGCACTCAGGCGTCACGCCGTTCACTGAGCAGCTGGCTGAGCATTTTGCAGGACGAGCCTGTGGTGCCATGCTGGATTTATATGTTGGATATGACGAACGGTTGCTTGCGCCAGCCTCCCGCGACTATACAACGTTCCAGACGCCCTATGGAGCTCTCAGACTTGTTACCCTGCCCATGGGATGGACGAATTCAGTCCCCATCTTCCACGACGACGTCACCTACATCCTCCAGCCCGAAATCCCGGAATTTACTTGGCCATACATCGACGACGTCCCGGGCCGTGGCCCCAAATCGAGATATCAGCTAGAAGATGGGTCATTTGAGACGATCCCTGAGAATCCAGGGATTCGCCGGTTCGTTTGGGAACATTTTGGAAATCTGAATCGAATCGTTCAGAGGATGAAGTACTGCGGAGGGACATTCTCTGGCCTCAAGCTCACACTCTGCGCCGAAACCATCACAGTTGTTGGACATGTCTGCACACCGGCTGGACGAATCCCTGATGAGAAGAGAGTCGACAAAATCGCAAATTGGGGACCCTGCAAGACGCTCTCAGAAGTCCGTGCATTTCTGGGCACCATAGGAGTCTGCCGTGCATTTATTTCGAATTTTGCGCATCGTGCCCACGCCCTGACACTTCTAACACGAAAGGATATGCCATTCCACTTCGGTACTGCACAGATCGCTGCCCAAGACGACCTGAAGCACGCATTATTGAGCTGCCCTGCGCTCCGGCCAATCGACTATTCATCTGGGGACCCAGTTATCTTATCCGTGGACACCTCTCAGATCGCCGTTGGTTTCCTGCTTGCCCAGTGCGATCCAAACACTCCCAGTCGACGTTTCTATGCCCGGTTTGGCTCAATCACGCTTAACGATCGAGAAGCTCGATTTTCACAGCCCAAGCTAGAGCTGTATGGATTATTCCGCGCCCTTCGTTCATGGAAGCTCCACCTGATCGGTCTACGAAATCTAGTGGTTGAAGTCGATGCTAGGTACATCAAGGGTATGCTACGGAACCCCGATCTTTCGCCCTCAGCCAGTATCAACCGCTGGATCCTGGCGATCTTAACCTTCCATTTCGAGCTAGTACATGTCCCTGGCGTCAAACACGGCCCGGATGGATTGTCCAGACGACCCGCACAGCCTGGAGACGAGTTAGAGCATGAGGACGACGGTTTTGATGACTGGATCGACGAGGTGCACGGTTTTATGCACATAATCAATGACTTACCCTTCGTTTCACGACGCCAATCCACGATCCACTCATTTTCCGCCGAAATTGCACCCACCGAGTCCACAACACCGCCTACACTGAGCTACGATCAGGTACCTCGCTCAGAAGCAGCTCGACTCGCCGATCATCGTGTAGATCTGGTTCAGGGATGGCTTGAGACGCTACGACGCCCACGGGACATGTCTGAACAGCAATATCAGGCATTTATTCGGTTTAGCATGGAATTCTACCTCGAAAATCGAAAGCTTTGGCGCAAGGACGCACACGGACGCCACAAGCTAGTCGTTCCCTCCCACCGTCGAATATTCATCCTGCGATCTGCCCACGACGACGTTGGTCACAAGGGATTCCACGCAACGAAGGCTTTACTCACGGAACGATTCTGGTGGCCATTCCTTGCACACGACGTCACCTGGTACCTACGCACCTGCCACCTATGTCAGATTCGACAGACAAAGAAGCTCCTTATCCCCCCTACCGTCGCGGTCCCGGCCCCACTGTTTTCGAAAATTCATATGGACACTATGCACATGCCGCCAAGCGCTGGATTCCGCTACATTGTGCAAGGACGATGCTCGATTTCGCTTTTTCCTGAGTTCCGCATGCTGCGCCGTGAGACAGCGACCACCCTGGGCGAATGGATCTTCCAGGACTTGATCTGCAGATGGGGGACGCTCACAGAAATTGTGTCAGACAACGGCGCACCGTTTGTGAAGGCATTGGCGTACCTGGAAGCTAAGTATCACGTCCGTCATGTGCGCATTTCGGGATACAACTCACGCGCAAATGGGCTGATTGAAAATCCACATTTCGACATCCGCGAGGCGCTCTTCAAGGCTGTAGATGGGGAGCAGAAGAACTGGAGTTCTGCTGCTTATTCGGTCTTCTGGGCGGACCGTGTCACTGTCCGTCGTCGCATGGGCTGCTCACCCTATTTTGCGGTCACTGGAACGCATCCATTAATTCCCCTCGATTTATCAGAAGCCACATACCTGCTCCCGCCGCCCGAAACCGTCCTTTCGACCACGGATCTCATTGCACGACGCGCCATTGCGCTCCAGAAACGCCGAAGCGATCTAGAAGCCCTACACTCTCGAGTTTATCAAGCACGACTGCGTGACGCTGCACGCTTCGAGATCGAGCACGCCGCCACGATCTGCGACTTCAACTTCAAGCAGGGCGACCTGGTTTTGATGAGGAACACGGCCATCGAGAAGTCCCTCAATATGAAGATGCGCAAACGCTATTTGGGCCCATTAGTCGTCATTTCGCGCAACAAGGGAGGCGCCTACATCCTGTGTGAGCTAGACGGCTCAGTTTTCCATCGTCCCATCGCCGCTTTTCGTGTTATACCTTATTTTGCACGCACAATGATCCCCCTCCCTCCCCTGGACGATTTCCTCGATATCTCAACCGAGAAACTGCGCGAGCTCGAGCAGTCAACATTGGTGGACCCAGAAACAGATCAGGAAGAGGAGGAGAGCTGTGAAGAGTTGTAGAAGAGTTAGAGAACGCGTTTCAGTCAGGAGGATGCACCTGCACAGCTGAGCACCCTCTCCTTTCGACTTTGCTGCCCATTCCTTTCCCCCCAAGTCGCATCCTTTGATTCATCATTGTCTTGCGCAGCTCCGAGGAGCTAAGGCTATGATGATCTACTGAGCCTTTATCTTCACATTTCTATTCCTCAAGACACTTGTCCGCTATTCTATGACCGAGGACGGTCATTTTTTCAGTCAGGAGGAGATGACGGACTGGCCTATCTATCCGACAAGTCCTGACGTGTGGCAGTGCATGTCAATCAGCAATCAGTGGGCGCACGCTTCGCACACAACTGAGGGTCTCCTCAATATTCCTCAGCCCTGGCTATTCACTGGTTCGTCCAGCCCTGCATATATTTTGATATTCACATCCCTGGACTGCTGTCTGCACATTTATCTCTACACCCCTGCCTTTCTTACTTCACCATCCACTTGTACCTGTTTTTCCCCTCTCACTTCCCTGGTTCCTCTGTTCACCGTCCCTTGCTCCATCCTGTCGATATTTCACCCACTCTGATGATTATTTCATTGTCTCACATACAAAAGCTTGTAGTTGGACAAAAGAAAAATAGATTTATTCTCCTCATAGTCTTGAGTTCAGTTCTCGTCTTCAGCTCGTTTCTACTTGGGTATTTCGACCCTCGGCTTCGTCGCATCCGTCCCACGCCGCCCTCGACTTCGTCCCACGTCTAAAATCATCATTTCTTACTGCCTGCCACGGCACTGAATCTTGTGGACCTCCTCGCACATCACACTTATTCCTGCACTGTTTTAGGTCGTAGCTGACCCCCATTTTGTGTTAGCTCGCGCCTATTCCGTCCGCAGGCACGTCACCGGATGTCCTCAATTTCTCGAGGAAGCTACCCACAAGCGAGCGCTAACGGCGGGCTGCGGCTTACATATCGCAATCTCTCTCACACTACGGACAGGGATCGCACGCCAGGCTTCTAGGCAGAGTTTGTTCGCTGTTAGAAGCCAACCGGGTTGCTTCCGCTGTTTGCGTATTGCACAAGTCATTCCGTCTGACGAGTTTCCCCTTGCCGATCTCTTCTCGGCACCCGTGGTGTAAGCGGTGGTTTGACACTTGAGCGCTGAGATGTTGATGGTGCGAAGCACCAGTCATCTCTTCTTACTGCATCTTTTGTGAATGTGCTCGAGGACATCCTTTATATAAAGCCTCTTCTTGCAGCAATTCATTCATTAAAAGTCTCCTTCAGCCATGATTGCAAGCATCGTTATCCCGACTGTAGCTACCCTGCTCGCATCTGTGGCCTGCTACGCTCTCAAGGTCTTGTATGATAACTGGACCTCACCCCTCCGTTTTATAGATGGTCCACCGTGTGCAAATCCTTTCATAGGACACGCTGCCTTGGTCTTTGTGCGACATATCGAGCGCATGTGGTTGTTATGTATACTGATTTGACCTGGTTCCCTTGCAGGATGTGCCGGATACGACCGACAAGTGGCGAGAGCAATACGGGCCTACGTTCATGGCCAAAGGTCTCTTCTGCGTGAGTCGTCAACAACAGTTCATTTCTGTAGCTGAAACCGTTCGACTTTTCAGGAGGACGATCTCCACACCACGGATCTGAAGGCTGTCTCTCACATCCTGTCTCACGGCGCAATCTATCCAAAGACGCGTGCCCTGCTTTCCACTCTCAGAGAGATTCTGGGAGACGGCATTCTCGCTGTCGAGCACGATCCGCACAGACGTCAGGCAAGTCTGATCTCCATTATCTGACCCTCAGAATCGCTGACTTGACACCCAGCGCAAAATTCTGGTGTGTCTGCCAATTGAACACTTTCTTTCGGTAGTCCGCTGATGCTATTTCCGGCATAGAGCCCCGCCTTTGGTCCCCAGCAGCTCCGCGTTATGAACGAGGTCTTTGTGGAGAAGGGGAATCTGGTAGGTGTGCAAGTTCGCCTCGCCCGTAAATTTACTCAGCGATACCCGAGTTGTGCGAAATGCTGGCGAAAGAGGTCGAAACTGCCGGTGGTACCCTAAAAACTGACGTATCAGACTGGTTCCGTCAGGTGACGTTGGATATCATTGGAGAGGCCGGTGAGTCGCGAGCCTGAACCCTGACATACTTTGAGGAGCGCTTTAGCAATTTTCCAGGTTTCGGGTATCAATTCAATTCTCTGGAGTCGCACGGCAAGGAAGAAGGCGAATTGAGCGCAGTATTTTCTCAGCTGCTCTACGACCCCAACATCAACTTCTATCGGACCTTTCAAGCCGCCCAGGCTGTAGTCCCGATTCTGCGGGTTCTTGTGAGTGACTCCGATTGATTGAAGGGGCTAAGCTCACCGCCAATGGCAGCCGCTGCCAGGCTGGACACTAACTCGCTATGCAAACAAGAAGCTGCGCGCGATAGGAAAAGAGCTGTTGAAAAAATCCAAGGCCGAATCTGCTGCGCTCGGGTCGAAGGACCTTGGATCGGGCCGCGATCTGTTGTCACTTCTTGTGAAGGCAAACATGTCCAGCGAAGTTTCTGACAGTCAGCGGATGAGTGACGACGAGGTCATTGCCCGTGAGTGTTTCTATTGCGGTGTGTGGAACAGCCGCTGAGCGCGTCGACATGTTTCCTTGTAGAAATTCCTACGTTCTTCCTTGCTGGGCACGAGACCAGCAGCACCGCTCTTGCCTGGGCAATGCATGCCTTGTCGCACGATCAGTCTGTCCAAAACAAGCTGCGTCAAGAGCTGCTCTCCATTCCGACGGACACCCCAACCATGGACGAGCTCGATGCCCTCCAATTCCTCGACAATGTGCTCAGAGAGACTATGCGGTTGTACGCACCCGCGGTCAGCGGTCAGCGCGCAGCAAGCAGAGACGACGTGCTGCCGCTGAGCAAGCCCTACGTTGACCGTCAAGGCGTCCGGCATGAAAGCCTCCCGTTCGTCCCCATCTTTCCAGTATGACGAACATAGCCCACTGAAAGCATCTCAAAATCAACTACAGGATCCGCAAGGGACAGCTGTGCACTATCCCAATCCTGGCCATCAACACCAGCAAGGAACTCTGGGGGGAGGACGCGCTTGAGTTCAGGTCTGCTCGGCTCTGTGCAGAGCCACAAAGTGCTCACGATCTCGCAGACCTGATCGCTGGAACAATCTACCTGAAGCTGTGCACGCCATTCCCGGAGTCTGGGCGCACCAGTTGACCTTCCTCGCCGGCCCGCACAGCTGCATGGGCTTCCGGTTCACAATCGTCGAGTGCGTCGTATTCTGATCTCACGAGAGTTGTTCCACTGACACAGCGCTTTTCAAGGCAAAAGGCAATTCTGTTCGGCCTTTTGCGTAACTTTGTATTCTTCCCTGCTTCAGACGAGGTCAAGCCCGCGGTCAGCGCATCCTTCCAGCGCCCCATCTCGTTTGTTTCTGGAAGTGATAAACCGGGTTTGGTCTCCTTGGGAGGTCTTCAAGTGGTGATAAAGCCGTACAATGGCGAAGTTCATGCGTGAAGCGTATATAGCATAATCCCTACCACGTTCTTTGAAGAATCTGATTCAGACGAACTCTCAATTCTGTGCAGGAGTTTTCGCGCCACGACAAGGATAGCTTCCTATCAGCCCTGCTCTCACATTGTGAAGTGTAGTCGAGTTTTAACATGCTCTTTCGGTTGCGAACGGCGTACTTAAATGCCCTACAATGGGCTGAGTCTCGGGACCAATTCAGCACTGTGAATTCTTAGCTGTTCCGTATAAGCGTCGATGAGTCCCACAGCCTGAGCACAGCGGCAGCGTCGAGCTTCTCAGGAGTACGTGATCCTGCATGCACACACTTGCCCAAACATCAGTAGTGCTTATGAACTCAAATCAGTCCGATGAACGATGTACAATTAGCCAGACTACATGCTACATTGAGGTTTTTGCAAACTGTTTCGAGAAAATCTACTACTTTCCGTGGCGAATAGGCTGGGGAATGGGCAAGCGGTCGAAGTGTGTGACGGAGGTCATGAGATTGCTGTGCTTCAATCCATTTCCCTAGAAGAAGGGGTCAATGGTCGCGTTCCAGAAAGGGGCCCTGATAATACGTACAATCATGGTGCTGGGGAAGCCAGGGTCGAAAGGAAGGATGCTCTCGAGATAGGCGATGTGCTCCTCAGTCAAGACGACGTCGAGAGCCTCAACATTGGCCAAAAGATGCTCGACTTTACGACCACCGATGATGGGGAAGACGTAGGGAACTTTTTGCATCAAGTACGCGATGGCGACTGAAACCCATATGAGAAAATAGTAGAGGATAAAGTCCAACGAAACGCACCAGAGGTGATATGCTTCGCTCCAACTTCACCAGCTACCTTCTCGAGGGCAGCAGACATCTTCTTTTCATCCTCGTTCCGCTCCCAGTCGGGTCCAAAGATCATACGGCCCTTCTCCCCCGAAGTCCGGCGCGCCTCTTCTTCGGCATCAGTGCGCAGCTTACCAGCGGCCAGCACGTTCCACGGAGCTAGAGCCATCCCTAGCTCAGAAGTAAGCACACGAAGCTCAGGAGATGAATCGCTAGCACACATACCGTAAGCCCGAGCCATGGGAATGATCTCGCGCTCGAACGAACGGGCCATCACGTTCCATGCACCCTGGTAGATCACGAACTGCGACTTGCCGTGGTCGCGGGCGTACTGGTTGGCCTGCGCGACGACCCAGGAGGGCGTGTCCGAGACGCCGAGGTAGAGGACTTTGCCCTGCACGACGAGGTTGTGCAGCCCGTCCATGACCTCCTCGATGCTGGTGTCCCAGTCCCACCAGTGCATGTACAGGATGTCGATGTAGTCGGTACGCAGCTTCTTGAGACTGGCATTCACGCTGAGGTGCATGGACTTGACGTTGTTGCCGACGTAGTTGACCTTCTGCGGGAAGTTGTCCTGGCGCACTTTGAAGCCGGTGGTGTACTGAGGAGGAATCAGCAACACGGTTAAAAAGACTTCATTACACGGTCGGTACCTTGGTAGCAATGACCAGCTGGTCGCGGATACCGCGCTTCTCGGCCCACTCGCCGATGAACATTTCAGAGGTCTCATCCTGGCTGCAAGACGAGTCAGAGCGTGGATACATGCGGCAGCAGATCGACGCACTAGCCGTTCGCAGTGTCGATAAAGTTTCCGCCCGCGTCGAAATACGCGTCGAGGAGCTTGAAGCTGGACGCCTTGTCCATAGATCCCATACCCATCTTCTCCCACTGGTCGCCGATGCTCATTGCGCCGAGCTGCAGCGGCGAGACATGCACACCAGCTCTGGCCGAGAGAGTGCGATAGATACCGAGCTTAGTGGCTGGCTGAGGAGGGGGGGCCCAGAAAGACATTTTAGCGATACGTTGGGTTGGACGCGATGAGGGAATATACAGTAGCAGGGAATGGAGAGACGCACTTTTATATGGTTTTCATTTCGGGAGTGACGTCAAGCGACCATCGATTGAGAGATGCGGCCAGGATTACCTGCGGCAACGCGATTGCGCGTACAGTGCCGATGACAAATCTCGGTCCTCTCAGCTGATCCCAACAGCGAGGTTGTCAAATGGAGGGAGAGCCCAGGAGCCTAGCTGGTTCTCCTCTCAAAGCGAGTTTCCTTATTGCGTAAATGCCATCAGAAGTGACATATGATGTGATTTGTGGCTGGGTAGTGTCGTCATTCAATTGAAATGCTCCAAATGGGCAACAGGGATTGATTCGCGTTGAATGTCGCTTTTGAACCCCCACAGTTGCATCGGGGATAGAGATTTCAAATTGAACAATGATTTCTTATACCGCCAATTATTTCTGGGGTCTCGTGCGGCTGACTACGTGCTTCCATCAGACTTCCTGTTCTATTTGAATCTCACTCCCACCTGCGTCCATCTGCGTATAACTGTTTGACCCAATCTCTATGACTAATCTTACGTGACCTACAGATAGTCAAGCGCCCATTCGATGACTTGGACTGACCTTCAAGAACAAAGGCCTATCCAGCCCGTCATCGTGTGGCTTCCCCCGTCAGAGCCCGGTGTCTCGGATCCGGACGCGACCTCGATTGTATGCCAACGGACACAGTAAGGGATCTCTCAATACTCACCTGTCGACCAATAGACTGCGGTCAGCTCAGACGAACTAGTGCGGGTTACACGATAGAATTGATCTTGAACTTCAAGTTGGGCCCCAGATATCCAGCGCGACCTTCAAGATCTCAAGAGGCGAACCCACGGGCAGGACTGAGTATGCAAATAAGTAGATTGTGTCGGCGGCATCGTCACAGGTCGTGTCGGAAGCCGCTCAGGTCGGCAGCCGAGGTCGAAATACGAAGTTCCTCTCACGGAAGGTAGATAGGCCCCAGGAAGGCTGGGGTCCAGACTAAGAACGGGGATTTCAAGGTGCAACTGCTCCCGGTGGCCATGTGACCGCGTTGATGATGTCATCATTCCCTTTCAGACCTTCTTTTCCCACGGAGCCTCGGCACCGCGACCGCTGGCAGTGTCCTTCTACTACGTAGGACTCTCCGTCGTCGGAATGAATGTCAGCTATACAAACACAATTCTTTGCATGATTCCATAGCCATATAATCGACCGTGCACGGGTTGCCAAGTCTTGACCCGATTCCAGTATCGATCGATCACCGCTCTGCAGCTTTTTACTCCGTTCACACTCCACCTACCGATTCGGCCGCGCCTTTTCTAGGAACACGTCTCCGCCCGTACATTCATGGCAATGAACCCTCAACACCGGATTGCGCGCATGCGCGCATCGCCACAACAGGTGCCTGATCTTTCTGGTGCTTTCCCCTGGTATCGCTGAGGGGGATGTGTCGCCTATCAGGTCATCGACAAAGCGCGCGCGGGATCCATGGTGGACTTGACTGATCTCGCTAATTGGTGGACGCAGGTATGTCCTCTGCTCTCAACGTGGGTGAAGCTCATTCTCTTGGGCACATTCATCCGATCTCCACTTCCGCGGTCTATAGGTCCCGGAGCTCGTTCCTCTGGGCGTCATTAACGTGTTCTTCCATCATCTCGACGGGGCGACACTCGACGCCATCATGGCGTCCCAGTCGCCAACGCCAACGCCGCGCCAAGCCGAGCAAATTCTCCTCGCCACCAACGCGCTCTTCGCGCTCTGCCATTGCGGTCCCCTCCTCTCATTCGGTGGGCCCTACCACGACGGCACCGCGTTGCGCAGGGCCTGGCCGGGGATTTTCAGGTGGTCGGCATACCTGCTCAACGCGCGTGTCTTCACCGCCGCTACTAGCGCATCCTCCGAGCAGGAACGACGCACGACGATGGACACCGTGTGCAGCTGCTGGTACGCGTTCGTCGCGGCGGAAGGGATGCAGCAGGTCATGGCGCAGACGCAGGGCGCCGTCGAGCTGCTCACGAAGCTGTGGCAGATGGACCAGGACGTGCGTGGCCAGAGGACCGTCGACATCCCGTGCGTCGCAGCGGCGTTCGACGCGCTTCTCATCGACGTCGACTGCGCGGACCGCGTCAAGCGTGCTGTAGGCGGGAAGAGCAGCGCCAAGGTCGTCGCCAAGCTGGTGGTGACGCGCACGAAGGCTGCGCTTGCACGCCCGCAGCTCGATCCGGTCGAGCTGCAGATCTACTTGGACATATTCTCCCATCTGGCGCGAGGGGAGCAACATCCGCTGCGGCACGCCCTGCTTGCGGCCGGTGCTATCCCGCTCTGCACTCAGGCGGCGCTCACTTTAGCACGCGCTTTGGACGCCGGTGGTCCGCCTGACCTCCTCGGTGGGGTCGTAGCTGGTTTCGGGTTCCTCGCCAACTGTCTGCACTCTACAGAGGGCTTTACATGGGTCATTCAGGCTCTTCACGCGGACCTGCTCCTCGCGCTGGCAGCCTGTAGTCCTTATCTCGGAAGGCTAGACCGAGAGGACTTTGGTATGCTTTCGATGATCTTCAGACAGCTGTTGCCCCAGTATCTTGTGTATCGCTCGGTGATCAACGCTGTAGACGCTGGGCTTGGACGCTTGGATGAGAAGCAGCAGCAGAGGATCCAGGCTGGCCGGATGAAGCAAGTCTGGCTGGATTTCCTCGCGGTGGCGAGAGAGCGGATGTATGTGGTCATGCATGCCCAAGTCATCAAGGGCAAGGCCGCGACATGCGACAATGTGCAGGTGCGTTGCTCCTCCTCTTCCTCTCCCTCTCCCTCCGCGCTTACTCTCTTGCGCTGCAGTGCCAAAAGATTGATGCGAAAAACACGTTCCAGAAATGCGCTGGCTGCCAGTCCACACTGTACTGTTCACGTGAATGCCAGACAGTGGCCTGGAAAGAGGGAGGGCACAAGGAGATGTGCAAGCTCAAGCAGCAGGAACGGCTGGGTGTGTCACCTCTGTCTCTCCGCCGATTTTGCGTGCTGAGATCATCGCAGAGGGAAAAGCACAAGTCATCAGCAAAGGCGACTCTGCGTTCTTCCATCACCTCTCCACGCGCGATGCGCGACACCATATGCCTCTCCTCAGAAGGTTAGCCCAAGATAAGCACCCAGGAATTCCGGCAAACCACCTTGTTGTCCGGATAGACTACACGCGCAACCCACCGGCGTACTCGGTGCTCACACTCGACAAGGCGGAAATCGTCGAGACATCTCCCACCGCGTCGGCCAACGCTGAAGCGCGCAGCGACGCACTGTTCGACCGGGCGCGGGAGAACCCAGACCGGGTCTCGCTTGTGCAGAGTGTTGTCGCGAATGGGAGCTCGGCGCAGATGGTGCTGAGTGTCGTCACGGGCAGCTTTTGGGACGACGAGACTGTTCTGCCGACTGAGGAAGAGGACGGCGGCGATCGTGGCCCGGCAGCGCTTGACACATCTGTCGATGCGGTGGACATGATGATGGCCCGGACAGCTCTGGACGGTTTCCTGACATCTCAGAAAGAATCGGCGGCCTGTTGAAGCGATTTCGTTATCCTGATTTATCATCGGCATCTCAACCATTTGAGTAGGACGCAATTCATTCACAGAGATAGTACAAGCGGCTCGAGTAATCTCACAACTTTCAAAACAATTTCCAGGATTCTCCAACATTTGGATCAGATCGCCGGTATTTACTGGGACCCGAGGGAAATCGAGTTCGTGCCCGGGGTGAAGCAGAAGTTGTTGCTCAACTTGGTGCCGCAAGAGAAGAACTCGTTGCAGCTGCCACGGCAGTTCGAATCGTCGCAGAACGCGACGTCGTTCGTCGCCGAGAGGCAGTTGGTGTTCGGCGCATGGATGCACTGCGAGCTTCCAGTGAACACGGTGCACGGGCCCGAGCAGAGCTGGTTGGTACGGGTCGAGCAGAACGTGACGGTGGTCACGAACGGGTTCACGCCGAGCTCGTTGATATCGCCGACGAAGGTCAGTTCCGAGTCGGTGGTCGCGACCCAGTTCTTCATCTCAGCGACGGTCATCTTCGTGCTGACCTCGGGAGTCGGCGACTACAGGGAGGTCAGAACAGCATCGTGGACGACGCGAGAGACGCGTACCGCGACAGCACCGATGGTGAAGGCAGCGATGACAAACGAGGTCAGAGTTTGGAAGTACATTGGGGACTTTGGAGCAAGGTTGAGCGAGTGAACCCTGAATCCTCCCTGTCCGATTCTCCTGGCTTTTATACCGTCTGGGTCTAGCCTACGGCCAAGTCCTGGTCTTCCTTGCCCCGCTAGCCCTAAATTTACATCACACGTTCCCTGTTCAGCCTCCCGCGGGAGACTGGAAGAGAAGTCGTATTTCGGCATTGATTTGACAAGCGTTCAACAACGACCGCGTTCAGAGCGGAGGATGATGTCAAGCACGATGCACCGAGCATCATCAGCTGACCTCGAAATAATTTTAAAACAGTCTGAGCTCGCGAGTGGTCAGGTTTTCGATCTCGAAACGAGAGATGGCCGCCAATGCACAGATGGAGAATAGATGACCGTCTCCTCTGTAGGTATTAGGGCGTTGCAGATCAGGTCTATTCGGTGTCCAGAACTTTCAAGAGGGCCCATCTGGGAACCGTGTCCGGGTGCATTGCGACGTAACTTGTGTTTGACCATGCTTAGATGGCCCCGAGACGCGATAAAATAAAGTGCTATGTGTGTGAGTTCAGTCATGGTGCCATGTGTATTTTCGGGAGGCCAACACAGATGCAGATGAGCTCCCGCATCCATATATTCGTCGAAGATCAGTTTTGCTGTTTCTTCAACTCACACATGGATGTGGGCTGGCCGCGCCATCTCAACGCCGCTCATTTGTTTACCGAGATTGACACGCAAATCAAATGATCGTTCCTCGTCTGGGGTCATCAAGGCCGCCGAGCTCACCGCTTTGTTCACCCATTCATGAGCTGTAACCGCAGGGGTTTGGGGAGCCGATTGACTCTATTGATACAGCCCATGCATGAATTGACTCGAGTTGACCCATGACAGACGTCCCCGCCTTGGCTGTGTCCGCACACCGCCCTCTGAGCCAGCGCTGCCTATATGTAAATGCGGGCTGGGGTCGACTCCTTGCTCTCACTCCGACCAAGCCCATATATGCCAGCCCCCGCCCGCCACATCCTCCGCCGCAAACTCGTCGTGGTCGGCGACGGTGCCTGCGGCAAAACATCCCTCCTCAGGGTTTTCTCCGAGGGGCGATTTCCCACGATCCACGTTCCGACGGTCTTCGAGAATTACGTTTCTGACATCTCCGTCGATGGGAAGCCGGTCGAGCTCGCGCTCTGGGACACTGCGGGGCAGGAAGACTACGACCGCCTCCGGCCCCTGTCTTACCCCGACACCGATGTCATCCTGATCTGCTTCGCGCTCGACTATCGCGACTCGCTGGACAACGTCGCCGAGAAGTGGGTTCCGGAGGTCGTCCATAATTGTGGCCTGGACATGCCCACGTTGCTCGTCGGCTGCAAGAAGGATGTCCGCGGGGCGACCGCCTCGGCCCATGCATGTGTCACGTCTGGCGAGGGCGAGGCCGTGAAGCAGAGAATCGGGGCACGAATTTATTTGGAATGTTCTGCGAAGACCGGGGAGGGTGTCGAGCAGGTCTTCCAGCAGGCGACCAGAGCCGCGATCGAGCCAGGGATCAGGAAACCTAGACCTGTGCGATGCATGATCTTGTGAATCCATCGGAGGAATCTTGGATCCGACTTCATTGTCTCAAAGTCCATGGCTTTGATACTGGGCAAAACTATTGATTGTACTAGATGTATCGATATCCTGCGTTCCTAATCATAGATCAGATAAGATAAGATGGCGGCCAGGAAATCCATTTGATACAATCATTCATACCTTGTGAGCTGTGGCATCACCCCGTCGAGGCTCATTGGGTTAGGATTATATCACGAGGGAAAGCCTGAGGCTTCTCAGGGCCTCTTCCTCTCCAGCATACTGCATGAACATGGATAGACATCAGCTTCTCGCTGACCTCCTAGTACCAATCACATGAAAAATGACTGACCGGATGGAAGGCCAACTTCTCCAAGTTCCGCGCTCTGCAAATGAGACGAGCACCGTTCCCTGCCGATGAACTACGGATGAGACGTGTGCCGAGAGCGTCGTTCGCTATTTCGGTCGTCACTATTTCGGATCAGTCAAGTGAACGATCGAGGAAGGCATCGCTCGCAAGATGCCGAGTCGAGAAGATGCCGAAGCTGCCGACGTCGCATTCCCCAGACGTGGATTCTAACTTCATTGAAGCCTTAGCCAGCACCTTGGCACATTTTCGAAGCGGAGGCGCGCCTGCAGAACACCGGGATGGGCACGCGACCCCGGCCTCGAGCCTCCGACCGACTGCCGCGCGTGTGCGAATGAAATCCATCAGGCAGCGAACGAGCCCCCTGCATAATGCCCGTGAACAGTATGACAAGCACCTTCGCGTCAGGCGGCCTTGGGCGGCGGCAATGACGTCTATTTGGGGTAGGTCATGTGACATCAGCCCCTTCCTTTCTTAACTCCACTTCACACGTTCGCCTTTCCCCACCTCTCTCACGACCCACATCACACCACCCACCCACCCATCATGCTCTCCGCTGCTGCCCGCAACTTTGCCATCCAGCGCGTTCGCGTCTGCGTCCCCGCCGTGCGGGGTGTGGCAACTGCCCGGCCCGCGCACACGACCGAGTCGTACGAGAAGGAGGTCGACCAGACGCCTGCTGTCGACCCCAAAGTGTACCGCGTCGACCCGTCGTCAGACACCGTCCAGAAGCCGTACGAGCCGCCTTCCGGACCCTTCAGCAAGACCGGCGTCGAGGCTGGCGTAAAAGGCGCGCACCCCACTGAAGGTGTGTTTCACCTCGTTTCTCCTGAGCCGCCGTGAGGCGTCGTTCGCACCCTCGCGACGTCCTGTCTTTGTGGAATCGGCTATGGATTCGGTGAGCTGATCGTGCGTTCCATCCAGGCACTGCTTCGAAGAACGGCGCCAAGAAGAACCCCGCCTGAACTGCGATTCAGCACGCCAAAGATCATCGGTCCAAGCAGGCACGATGGAACCCCCGTTGCAGCTGAACTGCAAAGCCGCATAACTGTATCATAACTTAACGACACATTCATGTACAACTCCCTGAACCACAATTTCTTGCGAAACTCGCGATCACACTGGCCCTCATCAGAAGAGCGTGTAGGCAGCACTGGGTGCGTGCCCCATGGACCGTTTGGCGGTGATCGACGATCGAGACACGTCCACTCTCACGAAATTAGGCATGGAATGAGGTTTCATGGGAAGCACACAACTGCAAAGTGGTGTGAATATGCAAAGACGAACGCAAGACGGAGCTCACATGATGTCAGTTCCAGCAGGCCGTCTCGTCGGCTCTGCGTTGTTCAGCAATATGGATCCAAGGAAACGAATAAGATTGGAGCTCAGAGAAGCGCTTATTTGGAGCAACATTGACAATCTGATGCGCATGGCGCGTGGAGCCGAGTTACGGCGTTGAAACCCGTTTCTCCACCTAACAAATATAGGTTCCAGTCAAAAATCAATCAATCAAATAAGCGCTTTGAGTTCAGCGAGAAGCGCACGAACACTGGGGCTCCCACTGTTCTTTTCAGGTGGTTTCCTCTCATCGCCAGCAATGCGCGTGAAGAGCGTATCTGCGCCGTGGGAGAAATTAGCTTGTGAATGAGGAAAGCGCGTGCGAGGACGGACATCCGGTGAAAACGACGATTGGGAGTGTGATCATCATGACGCGGATTCGGCGCGCCTGGTTTCGGGGTATCAGAGCAGGATTCGCGGCCGCCATCTCAGGCGCGTGGTGGTTTGTTCCTAGGAGGGTCACGCCTTGCCGAAGAGTGACTAGGGACGTCACTGATGGAGTGATGGATCATTGATGGATGTTGAATCATTGACGAGTGATGGCGGCTTCGGAATTCGCCGCCGTGAGGCTGCAGCGCTTAAGCGACGGTCCGGTGGCGTGAGTTTAAATCATCTGCTGGATGCACTCCATTCCCGGCCTGAATATATATCTCAATCTCCATCTCCATCTTACATGCTCCAATCTCCACTGCACAGTTGCGTTGAATCAAGGGTACTCTCGGCCCGCATCATACGGCGCAAAATAGCACCACCAGATGTTGGAAATTTCGGCGAGAAACATCCGGGCTCGATGATCCCTCGGTCATGATCGGTAGATTAAAGCGCCTCGGGTCTCATTTCGCGTGGGACCCCCAGGCAACAGTAGCTTATAAGTTATATCAATCTCTGATTTCTACGCACGACGGAATTGCAACCCGAGACTTGCATCCGAGGCAAATACATACGACGGATGCGCAGTCAGTTCTAGGCGCACGGTGCATGCAGAATTTCTTCCGGAGCATTGGATATCACAAGCAATGCGCAAACCGGATGATTTGTTTCGCCACTGCGCCTGCGACAAAAGCCGGAGCACGGGACACCATCGCCGTGGGCTTTGGGACGGCCCCTTGGCGGGCCCCGGGTGGCGCCGCTTGTGCGAAGAGAGATGGCTATCACAACGAGGACTTTTTGGGGGGTGACCGTTAATTATGAATATGTTAGTCACAGTCTCTGCGTTGCGAGGCTGCGATGGTGTGGGTCCCGCCGAGGTCATTGGGCGGATCGGAGCACAGGGTTTGTGTCGGATGCGGGAGGCGTCGCGGCATGCTTCCCACTCTCTCCCAGTTTCCGAGACTGCACGCGGACGTAGGAGCCGCCGAAGAGGTTCTCAGTGTGGGGAGTGCGGCGTGCAGAATCAGCGGATCAGATAGCTCGATACCCACATGTCTTTTCCGCATCTCTCCGCCATCTTCCCGACACGGTGGCACGATCTGTGATTGCACCCGGGCGAGTGCAGGACAATCACGCGCGGTTGGGGGCGCGTGAAAACATGTCGGGCGCAGGATGAGGGCTTACGGAGTTAAAGATAGTATACGCTTGAAAGCATTTTTGATGGGTGACTGCATCGAATAGGTGCATGACAGGATCAAGAGCTGTCTTGTCAAGATTGTGGTGTGTCCACACGCTTTATTACTTGTGTTTTTGTTGTGGACGCTCGTGCTCCTCCATACGAGCGTGATAGCGAACATCCAGGCGCTCGTGGACCGCGTCGATCTTCACACCAGATCCTCCCGCATAACATTGATCAAGTCACGACATATGACGCCAAATCGGCAACTCGCCCTCCACGTGGGCGGACGGGCACAGCCCCCCGGCGTCCACGGATGACATTTGCCACGTGTCGGCCCCTTTTTGTGCTTTCGCGATCGGCGATCGGATACCCCCCTTGCCGATTGTGCGACTGATACCGTGCCGCCAGCTCACTCTTCTTCTTCTCCTTCCCTTCCTCCCGCTCCTTTGAATGTCATCGACCTATGTCCTGCTGCAGTATGGCACCGATGCTTTCAACGCGCGGTTTGTCGATCTCGAAGGACGGCCTGCGTTCAGTGTGTCAGTCGACTTCCGCATCGAGTCACGCCCACTTTGAGCTGATCGTTCCCTCGTTCTTCCCTTCTACCTGCGCTCAGTGGCCCGGTGCGTGCTGTCCAGCGCTGAACGTGGATTCAGACTGATGTCGCATCTGCGCAGGTCCCCCACAGCCCGAATCTCGTCGTTAAACTCGGCCGGGAGGCAGAATGGACACAGCACCACCCCGGGACGATGGGCCCCGACGCGGCCTACTTCTACTTTGGGCCCTATGTCGCAGTGCAGAGCTCAGTCTACGGTGCAGGGACACCGACTCCTTCACCCGGATACCTTGTCTACGGCAACAACCGGAACTCGATACCCATGACCTATCTGAGGAGGCAGAAGACCGAAGGAAGCCCGTAAGCATCGCCGCTTCTCCCGCCTCCCCGCGGCGCATCACGGACGCGGCCCGGGGCTGATTACCTCCAGATCACGATATTTCATTTCGCAGAGCGGAAAGGAATACAAGTGGAGGGTGTCCCAGACGAGGATGGAGGTGCGTGTTGTCCCCGGACGACCTCTTTTTTTCCCCGCGCTCCACACCCATGCCCTCACTATCTGCGTCCGCTGACGCCCTGACGTACGTCCGGCTGCCCAGTGACAAATCCGTCGGGCCATCGCGTTGGCCGGGGCTTCTATTGCATCCTTGCTTTCTTTCTTTCGTTCTCGCACCACCGGTCGCATGGAAGCCGCTGACTACGCACACACAGCTGACAGACGGCCGCACGGTCTTTGCGGTCTGGGAGACGGCTGCAGCCACAGACGACTTTGACGGCCGGCTGACCCTGAAGCACGCCGGGCTGGCGTTCGTCACGGAAATCATGGCCACGCTCACCATAAACCGCATGAGCGGGGCCCTGGGCTGGTGAGCCCTGGTCTCACTCACGCATGTTGGCCCCGGCACATGTGGATCGGGCAAGGACACCGGTCCGGATTCAATTGGAATGGCGCTCTCGTTGGGAAGTATCTGCAGTGTATCATATCATATCAGCATCAGCATCAGCATCTCGCCTCATCAAGCCATGCACTTGTCCCTTGACCTCGGGAGTTGCTATGAATCATCCGTGTTTTACTCTTTTTGTTTTCGTTCTGTTTTCGCTCATGTATTAGTATACACCCGCTGTCGCATCCGATGTCGTCTCTTGCGTTCGAAATTAAATCAATTTGTATGCGACCCTGCGCTGCAGCATGCATGCCCACTGCCGAAGAATTGTGGGGTATTTATAATATTTATTGGCTCCTTGTAGAGGCTGCTACCCTTTATCGATGAGATACTGATGGGTCTGATGGGTTGGGACGCGCGAACACCCTCGGCCGCTTTATTCCGCGCGGATGCATGGGGCAGGCTTCGCGCATACATGCACCCCCAACTCCAGCCCAGATCCGCTCGCGTGGCATCGCGTGGCAGCCACGTGGCCGCCCCTTCGAAGAAGGCCTTTCCGTTGGCCCGTCGTCACCCGCGTGAACATTGCTGCCGACGGGCATCACCCGCCCGCTCTTCCGTCCCCTACCCCCAGGCCTTCCCCGAGAACGCCGCGCCGATGGAAAGCCTATCTGGACAAACACGCGGTGGCGTCGTCGTCGTCATCTTCGCTGTTCGTCGACGTGCATCGGCTGCAACGGCGCGGGCTGACCCGGATGCACTGGATCCATGCGTATCTGGCTGGGATTCCGACCCCCGCTCGCGTCCTCGTCGTCGTCGCTATCGTCATCATCCTCGTCCTTGCGCTGGATGCACGGGCCTGGGTGTTCTCCCTCGGAAATGGCCCAGCTAACGTGGACGTCATGACTCACAGCATATCCGGCCCGCGGCCGAGTGTCCGCACACCGCTGCACGCCGAGATCAGATGGCGATCGGCCGGACCGGATCAGCAGGGTGGACTCACTGCAGCAGGGTATACAACTTAAGCACACGGAGCAGCAGTCGGAGAGGAATTCGGAGAATTTCATTTTGGGCGAATGAATGAATGAGATTTGATGGAATGAGGATTGTGCATGCCCCTTCCAGACTTTATATGCAGGCGCGGTCGCGAAACGCGGGACGCTTGCGGGATCAGGCTGTGGCGAGGCAGTGTGTCCATCAACTGATTATCACCCGAACAGGCATAGTTCAGACTTGTTCAGACTTGGCAAGTGTTTGAGAAGACTTGGGGGGGAATCGGTCAGCTGGATGAGTCGGGAAGATGTGAACCTGGGCGCAACTTGGCAAGCCATAGCTGCACAACTACATACTACAAAGACTGAGTCTAGCCATACCTGCAAATGTACTTCGTTGTCATAGAGATAAACGGCAATTCACTCGGTAGAGCCTAGAACGTTGAAACGAGATGGCTCTGATTGAACACATCCCAAGCAATTCCAGTTGCAGCACGATCATCTTTCTCTTTTAATTCATGAGATTAACTGTCTCTCGATTGTTTTCATCTGCCCGCATGAAACGCCCCGGCAAACTGACATTGAAGACCTCTCGCCAGCTTCTGATCGGTCTTAAACTGGGTTCTCCCAGCCGACTAGCGTGGATCAGAAGTATATTATACGGTTACGATTCTTATGCTGATCACGACCAACTAATGCTGGAAAACTCGGCAGTGCTCGCCGAGCTGACCTCCAGCGTACTCTGTGCGGATTCGTACGCTGCGAGTCGAGGACTGTCAGCAAAATCCTTGCGCTGCCATCTCAAAATGTACTCACGGACGAACTGGGGAAGAAAAAGTTAGCTCAGATTATGTGACCGCAGTTCAAGAACAGCAGACACTCACGAACGCGGTAAAATCCGTGCTGACTGCAGTGCTCTCGTAGAACACAATCCGATCGTTGTTGTAGCTGGCGTATTTCCCACGTTTGACAGTGTCGATGTCCTTGAAATGCAGGTTACCTCCAACCTCTGATGGGCGTCCCAATCTCAGTACAGCGGCAAAAAAACGAGCGGCCCGAGAAATGAACGCACTGACTGATTTGCCCCGCAGGACGTTGTTCGTGTCGGTAATTGTTGCGGTGGCCTTGATGGCGGGACAGCTGATCGTGATCCTGCTCTGGTCGTCGTATTTGCGGATGAAGCAGGTGACCGAACCGAGGTTCATGTCTTTCCACGAGCCGGTGCCCTCGTAGGCATCCATGTTGCATCCGCGCACGCTCTCGTCCTGTGGCAGAAAACGATGAGAAATGTGTATAGTGGATCTTTGACTAGAGCAAATACCGCATCGACTCCCAAAAACTGGGAGTGGAATTCAGTCCGAAAAGCATGAAGTCCAGCAGGAACCGACGAACCTCAGCAAAGCACTGATTCTCCGACTCGGTGTAGAACTTGATCCATGCGCAGGTCTTGTTGTCGATCTTGTTCACATAGCGGTATGTCTTGTATTTGATTCCCGTGCGGTCGAAGTTGTCCGCATAATTGTAGTAAAAGGTACCCTCGGGATCTATTCCTTTGTGAGACCCATGATCCTGGATGAACGTATCGTGCTGCCAACCTTTCCCGATGTACAGTCCGTCCGTAAACTCCTTGCCGATATCGGGCACCTCGAGTCGAAGGGCACGGCGTCCGTTGTTGAAGAGCAGTGCCTCAGCCTGCACCGCGTGCTTGTAGTGGGATCTGAGTTCGGAAAATTTGTCGCTCATGGTGGAATAGCGTCGGATTCGCTGGCCTCTTGAACACAATCCATCGCCCAAGACTGCAGGTGTCTCTTATACCGCCGTCCGGCCGCCCGAGGAACATGCTACCAGTCATCGTTGTATGTGGGTTTCTGCGAGCATCACGTCATCGCAGCCATACGACTTGTCGAGATTGGCCTTTGAGCGGACTAATTGCACAGCGAAAACGCCGGTTGCCAAAAACGGGGCCTTGGTCATGAGGAGGGCTTGACCCCATGACAGTGGGCTAGTGAGTGGTGATAAGCAGCATTGCGTTGGATCACAGCAGAGGTTTGGGTTCAAGGGGCGTCCAGTAGACCAAGGAGCGGTTGCTTGATGACCACGACCATCATTGCCAATCGCACACGTTTCAGCTTGCGGCGCACAGCCCAGCCCCGAGCAAGCGCGCGCGCGCTATAAGGGAACACGGGCGGATGATTACCGTTCTCATCACGCTTTCTTCCCACCCAGACCCGTCCTGTCATCCACGATGGCTTCGACGACATACACCATCCGCTCACTCGATGTACCCGAGCCCACGCCGACGGGGCTCGAGTCTATGGTCTTCCACGTTCCCTTCATCGACGACGTGCCGGCGCGCCTGCTGCAGCGTTACCGGGATCTGCGCGCGGAGCGCGAGATGGAAGAGGAGAGCCACTACGAGGCCGAGTCGGTGAAACTCGTTCTGGAGGCGTATCAGGAGGAGGCGCTCAGGACGGAGCGGGAGGAGTGGGCTGTGCGTGCGATATCGCTGTTCCACGCGGTGGTCGAAGGCAACAAAGATACGCTGCGGCATGTCGAGGTCGTGCTACCGACGGGTGGGATGGCGGAGCCGCTGAATCTGTTCGCACCTCTCAAGTACGTGACCGAACTCGAATCGCTCTCGGTCCAATGGGTGCGTAAATCATCCGCGCAGTGGTTTTTGGCACTCATTCAACGCTATCTACTTCCAGCCCATGCGAGGCTACACCCCACTTCATCTGCTCCTCATCCCGCAATTCGCCCACGTCCTCGAGAACACTTCGTTCCTGTCCGCGTACGCGCACTTCACAGACGACCTGATTAGCCTGCTCGAATCGCACGCCGCCACGCTCGCGCGCCTGCGCATCTCCCTCCCGCAGTCGACCACGCGCATGCCCTTCGCGCTCACCTCGCTCGACCCCGCGCGCTTCCCCGCGCTCCCGCACCTCGCGCTACTCGACCTCACGCACTGGTCCCCGTCCGTCCCGGCGCTCACCGCGCTGCTCACGCCCGCGCGCCTGCCGCGCCTCAGGCACCTCATCCTCGACCACGGCGCGGAGTGGCCCGCGACGGACTACGACCCGGACGAGGAGGTCGACGACGACTACGACCCCGACGCGCCGACACCCGAGGTGTACTCGTGGGCGGGACTTGCTGCGCACCTCGCGGGAGAGGGCAGGGGCCGGCTGGAGTCGGTCTGCGGGGCGTTGCTGGACACGCGGTTCAGCTATGGAGGTGCGGCCCGGCTCAGAGCCGATGGGCTGCGTCGTCTGCTTGGGCTGCAGGACGATGCTGGGATCCGGATCTGCACGGCTTGGCCGGTGGAGTACGCGCTGCAGGAAAAGAGGGCGGAGGAGAAGCCTGAGGATGGCGCCGACGACGATGACCTGTATACGCATGTTCCCGGGTGCGGACATCTGGCCTACCCCGAAGGTCAGCGCCCCACGACCGGGCTTTGGACTGCAGAGGGAGAAGAACAACGTTCAGGGCAGAACATGCTCGGCAAACCCTGGTATTGAGGCCATGGGCTGTAGGATACAGTAAGAAGAACTAGCAGAAACCCGTGCTACGATGCGGGAATGGAACAAGTTGTAACCTGAGTCGCGTGGATCATGTCACATATCTCCGGAAAGATGGCCGAGACAAACCGTTTCTTCATGTACAGGACAAGGTGGTGCCGCAGTCGTCAGATGGGCTTGATAAAATGGTGATGATGAAATCTACCTGTTATCCCGCCAACGTCCCTCTTAGCTCAGTTGGTAGAGCGCGTCACTAGTAATGACGAGGTCAGTCGTTCAAATCGGCTAGCGGGAATTAATGTTTTGGACATTGAATCTTTTCGTGCCTGTCGCTGTCATTTGTGTGGCCGGCTTCTCCCTCTTACCCGCCCGCATACTGTTCCGATTCAGTTGTGTTCTTTTGAAAATTTCTCTCCATAATCTCACTACAATGAATAAGACAAAGGAAGCCATAAGTAACTTTAAGGCCTGTGTGTCCTGGGGTGAATCATAGCAGGTCTGATCATGATTGATCTGTTTCCTGAATGCACGTTCTTCGGTGGACCGATCCCGCTATTTCACTGGGATCTCCGAGGCCTCCTGACACACAACTTCCATGTATGGCGAAATGTCCAACCTCGCTCGCACACAAGTGCTCGCCTGTATGCCGCTTATGCCTCCCTCTCCATTCCATACTTCATCTCGGATGGTGATCTCTGCTGCCTACCGAGGGCTGTCTTCTCGAGCCCGCCCACGACATCGTCGTCACGTCCCTCCAGCTTTGCGCGAGGTCTGGAGTTTCCGTGCTCTCGTGGAACTGAACGGCAAGACGTTACACAGAAGTGCTCTATTTTCGTTGATCATCGCCGTTCCCACAATCACGACTATCGACTTGCGTGATATTAGAGCTGTGAAGTGGCGACTCGACGACAAGTGAAAGGAGTGGGAGGGGCGCGATGCAAATGCAACATTAGATACTTTTACGGCTGATTTGTTCCAGCTGCTCCCACCAACGTTCAAGGGTGAGCTGGAGGGTCGTCTGATAAGCAACAGCAACTTCGAACAGACCCGCGAGGCTCGTGCGGCCGTGCCGTCTCCACCGGCTGCCGCTTCAAGAAAACTTCCCAATCTTTATTGCAAGGACAAGATCCCAGATGTGCGCGTTTTCTGGCCACCTCCTTCCACCCAGGTTCCGGAGTGCGCCACAGATCAGCTTGGAGCTTCTCACGACGCGCCCCTGACGCCTCGGGCGCAATGACTAGCTGTGCCATCGCATGATGGTTGCATCACGTGTCCGTGGTTAATCAATCAGCGGCGTGGCACTCCTCCGGTCAGAATCTCTACTTCCATGTACAACCGACTGACGGCGGCGACTCACCCTCTCTATCGAGCGGTAGGCCCATATTTTGTTTGGAAACCCAACTCCGTTCGTAATGACTGCTCGGCTCCTGCATACGCCGTTCCCATAGCGGGACGACCGGGGTTACACGGCAAGCGTTTGCGCGATACACGCTAGCATAACACGATCGAGGCGTAGCTCTGCTGAGATGAAAGTCGCCATTGGCTATCCCACGAAAGTGCGCGTGTGGGAGTGTCCCAGCGGCTGGTCTGAGGCGTTCATTTCGTCTGCCATCCGACTGATCATCTACGTGATACAGAACGTCCGTCGGCCCTAACGGGGTCGACAGCAATGGCATGTCCAAATTGATGTTGTGTCTATGCGCGCGTATAAGTAACAGGTCTGCGAAGGATCGCAGCGTCCCTCGCTTTCCCCAGTGATCATGGTCGACGCTGCCTCTGCCCCCAAACACGACCGCCTAGATACGCAAGCGACGGTCGTATACCCGGACGATGCGCCTGCGCCGACGACGTATCTGGGCTCCAGCGGGACGAAGCCCGCGAACGTGATCCCGCCAGACCACCCGCACCGGACCCTGATAGTGTGCTTCGACGGTGAGCGGGCACCGTCTCCGGACCAGCAGTCCCCACCCCCGCGCGCGCTGCTCTTCTGACGCGGCTTCTCCGTTTGTGCCCAGGCACGGGCGAATCGTTCGGTTCCGACAACTCGAACGTGATCCAGTTCTTCTCGCTGCTGCCCAAGGCCGACCGCAGCAAGCAGATGGTGTATTACCAGTGCGTTCCGCGCGTCAGCGGGCGGGATACTGTGGTTCGAGACTCTCACGGTGATCCCGCAGGACGGGGATCGGCACGTACACTTCACCCCAGATCATGACGCCGCTTCGCGCCAAGTTCGCCCAGGCACGTTTCGCCCCTGGCACCTCCGTTCGGATCCGCGCTCACGAAGAAATAATTGTGCACAGCTGCTGGACGAAGCGATCGCATGGAGCCTGGATGCGCATGTGATGGGTGGGTACGAGTTTCTCATGCAGAACTGTGAGTGTGTTTCCCTCCTCCCAAACAATCTGCATCCCATCGCAATGCATTCTTCCTGCCAGACACCGCTGGTGACCGGATCTGCATCTTCGGGTTCTCTCGGGGTGCCTACACCGCCCGCAGGTGAGTCCCAGCCGGTGTATCTCCTCGTTCATCCCCAGCCTAACCCCGCGCGTCCAGCTTAGCGGGAATGATCCACAAGGTGGGTAGCGATCGCATGTGCCTCCGTCAAGCTCATGTGAGCGCCACAGGTCGGACTGCTGCCGACGGACAACGCGCAGCAAGTGCCATTCGCGTACAAGATGTACACCCGCGCGGACGAGACGGGGTGGAAGCAGTCCAACGCGTTCAAGAAGGTGCCGCGTTTCGTGTTGTTGTCAGGAACCCCATATGCTGACGGCACTCGCCAGGCCTTTTCGATCGACGTCGACATCGAGTTCCTGGGAGTCTGGTTCGTTCACTCTCACTTTGGATGACAGGATTTGATCTTGATCAAGGGACACGGTGAACTCTGTCGGTATCATCCCGAAGCGGTGGGTATTGGCCCTGTCCTTGCTAACATGATTGACAACGCGGCATTCATCCAGCCTGCCTTTCACGACGTCGAACACTATCGTCCGGACCTTCCGGCACGCCATCTCCATCGACGAGCGCCGCGCCAAATTCAAGGCGAACCACTGGAACCGGCCCACGGCGCACGAACAGACGCTGGGCATTGCAGGCACGAAGCCGGCCGCATCCCAGAACATCGAGATCATCCCTGGGAGCGGGAAGGGCCATCCGAGCGAGCACAAGCAGTCGTGGCGACACATGGAGCGCCAATACTCCAAAGCGTGCGACCAATTGACCGATGTCGACGAGGTGCGTGTGTTGTGTGATGACTACTCGTGTAGCGATGCTCACTGCGTGATGCGCCAGGTCTGGTTCTCCGGGTGCCATTGCGGTGAGTCCAGCACACCCTAGCGCCCGCCGGGACGGCGCTGACACGTGCCCCAGATATCGGCGGCGGGTCGGTCGACAGCTCGACGCGGCACACGCTGGCAAAGATCCCGCTGCGCTGGATGATCCGCGAGTGCTTCAAGACCGGTAGCGGCATCATGTTCGACGTGGATGGCTTGCGCTCCGTCGGCCTCGATCCAGACAGCCTCTACCCCGTCGTCAAGCCCCGCCCAGCCGCCCTCCCACTGGGCGACCTCAAGATCCGGGCGGTCCCATCACCGTCTCCCCCGCTGCCCGATCCGACGCCAGTGTTGAGCGAAGAGGAGGAGGACCTCCATGACTCGCTCTCGCCGCTGTACGACGTGCTCGCCACGCCCCTGTCGCTGTGGTGGATCCTCGAGTTCTACCCGATCGAGGAACGCTATCAGCGGCTGGACCACGAAGGCTGGGGCACGTACCTGGGCTTCAATCTGGGCCGCGGACGGCGCGTCCCAGACGAAGGCTCGGCGGGGGTCCGCGTCCACCGCAGTGTCAAGACGAGGCTCGAGGCCGCAGCCGCGAGCGGAGGGTACGTGCCCAAGGCGGGCGTCGATTTCAGTCGTGCGACGTGGGTTGATTGAGGGAGTGTCGTCCCGTCCCGTATCTGCCTGTGTGTAACCCGTTCCGTCATCGGTAATTCCAAAGTTTCAGCCAGAACCACATGCATTGGCATGCCTGCGAATTGGCAAAAGAGTGACATAAAGGTTCAGTCAAGACGGAAAATGGCTGAGACAAGGCCAACTACCGTCAACACCATAAGCCACATCGGAATCCATTGTTCTCGAGATCATACCCCGCCTCATCACACCACGTGCCGGGCCTCCGCCTTCGTTGCTCTCCAAACCCACTCTGCTCCAGTCCGCACGAGCAGACGAGATTTGCTAACGAGTTGACGACGGAATCCACGTGGGGCGGCCATTGTCTCTGACGACCCAAGGCGCCACATCCAGCCTCGTGCTGATATCGTGTCATTGCCACCCTCCCGCACCACTTTCTACCCACTACGTGCATATAAACACATACACAGCTTCCACGACCTAAAGACGATCTTCATACGGTGAGTGCGTGCACGATCCGTCGGTAGCGCCAGGACTCACCCGATGCAGATATGCAATCCACGATGGCGCAGAGTGCCACCCTCACTGGCGATCTCGCGCGCCTGTTCGCCGGGCTCGAGCAGAAGCGCCCAGGCGCGGGGGCCCTGGGGGAACACCCCATGAACCAATACCAATACCAACACCCACCCACCCTCACCGCGGCAGCCCATCCCCTGGCGCAAGTCAGAAACTGGGTGCTGCAGCGGTGGATGCGAGAGCAGCTGGGTGGCAAATGGGCGCCGCCCGCTCCCCGCACCAAGGGACACCAGATCGGAGGCAGCAGCAGCAGCAGCCCCGCAGCGAGCAGAAGCTGCTCCGATGCGTCGTCCTTCACCAGCTTCGCCAGCACCCTCCCCGAGTCGTCGACCGATCCCACCGACGACGACGGCTCTCCCGCACACGGGAAGGTGGCAGCCAGTCGGCAGGTGGCAGAGAAGCTGGAGACGTCCGCTGTGGGGTCTCTGGCTTGCGAGCTCCTGGGCGCGAAAGCCCGCGAGAGCCTGGCATTGGCAGCTAAACATACGCGCGCGGCGAAAAACTTCGATGATGTGCTGGTGATCCTCAACGGCGGGGAGATCGACGCTGGGGACTGGACGATGGGTGTCCTTGGAGCCGATGCGCGGGATGCCTTGCAGGCGTGCGGAACGGGTCCAGTGGACTCGGATGACATCCTGGCTGCGCTCAACGCTCATCTGCCCACCTCGATTTCGGTGCAGGAAGATGAGAGAGCTTCTACGATCGAGGACGCGAAACCGCAATCGCTGGTGCAGGGATGCAACGAAGGTGGCGGGAGCCAAGTCGTAGAAGATGCGACGGGCGTTCTCGCAAGGTCGGGCGGTGCAGCCCTGACCAAGAGCAATATCCAAACCACGGAAAGCCGGGAGGAATCGACTCTCATGGGAGCAGGAGACGATTGGAGCTGCCGCATCGGCTGGACGCAGGGTCCCGCAGAGGATATCGGCACCGACCGCGTCGGCGCAGAGAGGCGAAACGAGCAAGGCAGCGGGATCAAAGCATTGGATGCGGAAGCATGGTCGCCATGCAGCTTCGAAGTCGGAAACGTCGGGGCACTCTCATATACCGCGGCCGGAGAAGGAGTCTGTGGTGGCTTCGCCATGCTTCGCTCTGATGAGAAGCGGTCCATGTATGCGGTAGGACACGACGACGACACCGAGTCCTGGATGGGGATGGGTGAGGTACCCATCGCGGTCCGCGTCGCCGAGTACGTGCTGCGCTGGGATGATGACGAGGAATAATGGATGGGTGGCTGTTCCCGTCCTTCTAGTGTTCAGCGTTGTGCGCAGACGCAGAGGACCTCCGCCGCGCCAAGGCGCAGATGCAGACCCCTAGTCCGTGTCCCTCGTCTCTCCGTCTCTCGTCTTCCTTTTTCATATACATATACATGTACCTGTACCACGGATTGTGAATCAGCCAGTTTGCGACCAGATAGGAGGGAGATGTGTTGAGGCGGCGACAGCTGCGACGCTTGAGCTTATTGGAACTCGTTTCCCCTCCTCTCGTCGGGTTGTACTTGAAGAGCTGAGTGCTCAGAATGAAGCTAGAAAGTAGAAACAGCGGGGTGATCAGGGACGACCAACCCTAACCTGAGCTGCGATCTCTTCTTTCAAAGGCAGCCGCCACGATTCGAACTCGCCGCAGATATACCCTCGACTTGCACGATTCGCGGGAAGCTTTTCTAATTTACTGTCTCTCTGTAAAATACCATCAAGCAATGAAATTTCGTAGACGATCTTGACCCAAGGGTGTTCTTTCCAATTTCCACTTTCATGAAGGATCTTTCATTCTGCTCGGCCATATGCAGCTCTCCTCTTGAATCCGGCCGAATTGAGCACTTGGGGCAAAGATCTATCCTTGAAATCAAACTCACTACCCCCTACACCACTCATTTCGACCAGAATGCTACTGACCTCAGCTGAAAAGATACTGTAATCTAGCTTTCTGATAAGGTCACAAACCGCGCCATTTTACTTTATAGAGCTCCTAAGGTGTGCCGCATTAGGAACCAGCACCTCATGACTAAGCGTCACACCGTGACACACAGCGACGGAAGATGACGGTGGCCATGGAGGAAATATAGCTAAAGCACTCACATGGGGTATTTCTAGAGGCCTCTAGGGCACCTGCTATCTGAGCAGAATTTTTATTATGCCTCCTGGAGAGCGTGATGTGAGGCTCAAGAATTTTGCATCAAAAGTTTTCTTTTATAGTAGAAAGTGATTTGTCACTGAACTGAGCATTTTTTAAATTTTGGGTCGTAAGATTTGAGCATTCACGTGACTTCCTAATTAGGAAGTGGCAGTGCTGTCGGCCTCGTGAAGCCCTTCTGTAGTCATAGTAGCCGTATAAAAGCTCAATTATCCTTCGGACGCCAATTTTGGATCACATTGGCTGTATAAAAGTCCATATTTATACCAAAAAAGAGAGCTACATTTTTCGGACTGTGGATTTGAGCATCACGTGACTATCACGTGCTGCTTACTAAGGGATGCTGGTTCCTAATGCGGCACACCTTAGAGCGTTTTTAAGCTGTTGGAAATAGACTCGTGCTTCGAAATAAACGGCCCGATGCATCCAGTTAAAGAGAAGAATACGCTACATCATGCACGATAGGTGGAAACTGAAACGCATCGGATCCTCTCCATTGAACTAATTTTCTACTCGCCGAGAATTTTGAAGATCTTCTTCCCACACTGTTCGCATTCCCTCGTCGTCACAACATCTCTCTATCGGTATCAATCATCAACCGAAACCAGTTTCGTCATCTCGCTGATGGCCAGACTGAGGCGCGCGAGCTTCCACGGCTTCATGACCTGTTTCTTCTCTCCTTCTTGGTTCCCCACCGCCCCCGACAGTACGGCCATCGTCTGCTGCTCAGTCAAGCCTGTGGCCATCAGACCCAGCTCCGCGGCGGACTCGAAGCCGGCCTGCTCGAGTATGGCCGCGTCCTTCTCGACGTCGAAGCTCTTGAGTTCTGCGAGCAGCTCACGCAGAGAGGTTGCTGGAGATCCACTAGCGGGGTGGGAGGGTCCAGCGGCGCCGCTACATGGCTTGGTTTGAACCTTCTGAACATTCGGCAATGAGTGTATGAGTACGCACGGGGGGTGTCTGGCACTCGCTGTATCCCTGAATCTGCCTTTTCGTTCCTCAGCGTTCTCATTATTGGCTGTCCCGTCCTCGCCTTCGCTCTTTTCAGCGCGTTTTCTTTTTCTTTGCTGAAACACAATCAATAACATTCCAGGTTCACAACATGTCAAGGGCATTTTCAGGCTCAGTCGGAATGTTGCGCAACAAGTAAAACCCCCAACGTACTGAAAGTTCAACTCGTCTCATCCGAGTATGCGGTGCATCTGCCTATGAGACGAGAAAATCCCAGTCAGTTCCTTCCGGGTGAGCCCCATCAGAGCATACGGACTCGGTAAGGCCGGAGGAAGTGGGCCTGCACGGATGCCATAAGGGGAGAGATTGAACTGAGCTGCGGAACCTGCAAGTGTATGTATGTCTTTGTGTCCGGTGAAAATTGTTCGGTGAGTCAGCGTTACAAATTGAGTTTTGCGTTCTCTTTCCCACAGTGGGCTGTTTGACTGAAGGCCACCGCACCGCATTGATCACGGGCTGCTTGTTTGTCAAACAGATTTACTCGAGCAGTAAAAAACTAGAGCTGATATACGCTCATAAGTTCTCTCATCCAATTTCCAATGTAATTTCCTGTTGATCCCTCCTGGAAAATATTGAACAGTCGCTTCGTGACAATCAATCACGTGGACGACAAAGATATGATTCCATGCGCCAACTTGTCGACTCTCAAATTTTTGAATCTGCTGGCCGGTTTCTCAAACGCCTTTCGGGCAGTCAGAGCACGTTTCTAAATTCGGAACTTTACGTCGCAGCCGGCACGGCGTACGAACCCTGACAGTTAGCATTTTGCGGGCGTTGACGACCCTATCTCAGGCTGTCTGCTTCGTGGCCAACGTCTTCCGGCAGATCGAGGTAGCAATTGGGTGAAGCGGTCATATCGCCTGTGCTGATGGTGGGCAGAATACTTTGTTTGAGGCTACAGTCGTAGAGTTGCGGGTGCGTCGTGCTGCATTCTTCCTCTTGCATTCATTGAAGCGCCACAGGACGGCGTTCTTACGATCGAACCAGGCCTGCGCCCTGTCCGATAAGCTCTTATAGGCGCCGCTCGTACGAGCACATCTTGCCCCTTCCTCCACTCCCACACGGCATTCTTTCTTCCCGCGCGGCCTCGACATGTACACGCACTGCAAGACCGGGGACGATGTCCATTCCGCGCTGTCCACGCTCAGCCAGGCTGCCAGGGTCTTCCTCGACTGCGAGGGCGACTACCTCGGCTACGAAAGTGGACTCATGACCGTCATCTCGATCGGCGCTGCAGTGGTGGATTCGGACGAGATGCCCATCTTTCTCTTCGACCTCACCATCCTCAACAAGGACGCCCTGCACCCCCTCTTCGACGGCGTCCTTGCCAACGCCGAGGTGGAGAAGATCGTGTTTGACGGGCGCATGGACCAGAGCGCGCTGTTACACGAGCACGGGGTGACGCTGGTGAACGTCGTGGATCTGCAGCTGGTGGATGTACAGAGCCGAGCGCTCCGCGGCGAGAAACCCTACCAGCAGCAGGGACGCCTGATCGCGTTTTTGCCGCGGAACGAGGTGAAGAGGAACTCCTCCATGTATGTCCACGTGCACAAGCTCGATGGGCTGGCGCACGCGATTCGGCAGCACAAAGTCAAAATCGACAAGGAGCTGCCCGCTCTTAAGGGTGTGTAGTGTTTTCGGCATTGCCAGTCAGTCTGGCTAATGGGCCTAACACCCATACGACAGATTCATCGCGGACCCTCAACTGGCGCGTGGTGGATGAAGCGATGCTCGTCTATTCTGCGAATGACATCAAGCTGATAGCTGCTCTTCACGCCTACTTCGACGGCGCAGGATATCTCCGTCTCCTCGGGAGCATCCGCCAACAAAGTGCGCGCTACATCGCGCTGTGGGTCACCGCCCCGCGTATCTGGGGAGATGAGTACAGGTCGCATGGACTGTTGCCGCTGGCCGTTCTCGAGGAGACCTCCTCGCTCGGCTGCAGGATTTGTTCGGGATGCAAACGAGCGCTACCGCAGAGCGCCTTCCCCAAATCAGCGTGGGCAAAGCCCTCGAGGAAATGCTGGGTGTGCCGGGCTGTCGACGTGCGCCTAAGGATTCGCGGGAACGAAAATCTTCTGAAGTAACAATACTTGTATTAAGCTAGTGCGCATCTACGAGCTGTTGACCGCCCGGAATGTCTCGACCGACAAAGAGTATAATGGTTTGGGATGGAAGGATTAGAGCAAACACCCGTAGGTGGGACATCACGGAGCTGGTATCTTGCGAAGGCGTGCGCCAGGCGCATCAGATGCAGCGTTGGTCACGAGGACTGTTAGCAGTAGATCCATCAATCATCAAGATTCATCACCCCAAACAGCTCTGCTGCCTCGCCTCATGTCTTCCGAGCACCTTCTCTGGCTCCATTCCAGGGCTCATCCTGAACAGCCGATTATCCAAATGAGTGCACTTCTTGGTGCTAAGCGCTCCTGCCGCACCTAGGCTGTGACTGCCCGCTTCGGCTCTGCGCCTTTACCTCGATGGTGACTCGGCAAGCAGGAAGCAGGGTCTGCACCCCAGAATGTCACCGCTGTTCCGTCGACTGCATGCATACGTACGGCGTGACGTGCTGAGGCCATAAATGCACAACAGTCCAGCAGCCTACGTCTCGCATTTCACCTGCCGCGGCTTCGCTTCTACCCGTCGAGCAACCTCCCAGCACTCAAGTAGCGCTAACTACTCAGTTGCACTCGCGCTCGTATTCCAGTCGCACGATGTCGGTGTACGACGCCTCCCCGGAAGCACATGCGAGATACACAGCGACCCAGCAACGCGTGGGAGACTGGGCGCGCCAGACGTCGGCGGCTGCCACGTCGCGAGTGTCTTCCTCGAGCAGGAGCCATTGCCCGTCAACCAGCTCCGCGGGCCCCGCACCTCGCGCATCATCCTCCAGCAGCAGCATCCTCCCGTCGCACTCGATCTCGCAGGTGCTCAGCTCCAGGAGCGGTAGCGCCGCCGGCCACACGCGGCAGGTGGCACCCACCGGCACCATCCCCCCATCGCGTCCGATGTCGCACGCTCACGCCCCGTCGCACTCGATCTCGCAGGTCCACAGCTCGAGAAGCGGCAGCTCCGCAGGCCACGCACGGCGGGCGGCACCCACCGGCGCCGTACCCGCCTCGCGTTCGAGTTCGATGTCGCAGGCTCACAGCACCCGCAGTGCCCCCACGAGCTCTGCAGGCCGGCACCCTGCTACCCCCAGCAACAGCCTACGCCCGGCCCCGGCCCTGGGCCCGAGCGCGGCAAGCAGCAGCCGGACTGCTAGGACCTACGTCGTGACGCCGTCGCCGGGCGGGGGCGTGATCATCTTTCCGCGCAAGAACAAGGGGCCGCGGATCGTGGTGAGTGCAGAGTATCCCGAGCGTTGGGGGGTTGTCTGAGACGGCATATGCAGGTGTACTGAGGATGTGTCTGAACCACTCGGGTTCCTTGATTGAGAGGCTTGGACGTCTCGCGGCGATCGGGGGGCATGTGGATGCGGGTTTAGGATCTGAGAGATCTCGCACAGAGCCGGACACGGAGGCACGAATGCTTGGACTGGGTAGTCTGGTGAATGAATGTTGTTTCACATGCACCCCTTCTGGCAAGAGTCAACCGCGGGTCGCACGATAACCAAGGGCTCTCGAGACGCCAACCGTCACAAGTTGTAACAAAAGATCTGCCCAAACGGCGCAGGTGTGGCTACATTTCATTCATCGTCATGGCGGCGGCATTAACCCAATAAGTCTAGGAGATTAGATAAGAAGTGGTACAGAACGACGCTCGTCTACCGCCCAATGTACTTGAGCTCCAGATAACGTGCGGGGACGCTGAGGAGGGACAGCAGCGTCAGTCGCGAGCAGAGGTTACCAGTGGGACAGAGGGAACGCACAATACGATGCCCGCAAATGCAGCAGCCAACTCGAACCCGATATCTCCACCGAACGGATTGGCAGACCCACCGACGAGGGCGCCAATCTTGCCGACGTACTAGCAGGGAGAAGAAAGCATCGTCAGCGGGGCGTTCCCAGAGAAGAGCAGACGCCGCAGCACGCACCCAGACTTGTGCCATGCCCATCGCAGTGCCCAGGGCGCCAAAGAGGAACGCGGCGCACGCGGCGAGGCCGATGGGCGTCTTGTCCTGGCGGTTCCAGGTGTCCGCGACGTGGTAGTTCGCGTAGTCGCTCTTGCGGAAGACGAAGTGCTCGAGCAGGACGACGGTGACGAAGATGGCGAGCCAGTAGCCGAGCACGTCCATGAAATTCTGCAGCGACGACGCGAAGGACGTCGCGCCGGCGATGGCGATCGGAATGTACTGTGCCAGCGGGTCAGCATCTAGCCAGTCGGCTGGAGTCGTGCAAATCACTTACGATGGCGGTGATGATGACAGGCCAGACGAGACGCGGGATCTTCGCGAGCCAGACACCCACAACGGCGATAGAAAGACCCATCGAGTACACATCTGCGCGTACGCGTTAGCACGTGACCAACAGCTGTGGGGGGAGCAACGGCGCACTGATGATGTTGTTGGCGATCACGCTGAGCACGAGCAGCACCATGCAGAACTTGCCGAATTTGCCGACGACGGGGACCAGCACGGCGTGCAGCAGCCCACCGACCTCGTCCGCGGCGTAGCCCGCGGTCCAGGCGTCATTCGACGGCGCGGCGCCCCCGGCGACACACATGATCGCTGCGCCGAGCCACTGCACGAGGACCAAGGGGAAGATCAGGCCGGACTGTGGGCGTGGGTGTGATTCAGCCCCGAAGCAGGCGAAGATCGAAGAATTGGGCTGCACGCACGTAGGTCCAAGCAAAGGTCTTCCACGCCGGCGTCTCTGCCGGCTGATAGACGTTGTAGTCGCTAGCGAGCGAGACCCACCCGGCAGCGAAGCCGAAGATGACACCCATGAACGACAGCACGTTCGACGCCTCGCCCTGGCCACTGTGCGGATGTTGCTCATGAGTCCCAGCACATCGGTAACACGGAATACGACAACTCACGTCCCCATTGGCACGTTGACCAGATGCTTCGCAGCGCACCCGAGCACGATAAAGAAGGTGATGGCGGTCGGGATCCAGGACCACTTCTCGTAGATGTGCACATGCTTGTATCCGAGAAGACCAATAATCAGGGTCCCAATCTGCGCACAACGTCAGCGCGATGCGTAACAACGACAAGGAGCGAGGTGCTGCGCACGGCGATGATCACCACACCCGCCGCATGCGAGATCTTGTCGTCCGCGACGGACCGGAGGGTCTGGGCACCGGCAATGCTGTTGACGGCACTGGGAGGCGGGATCAGCCAACGCTGCGGACCCGACGCGACACTCCAGCAGCAACACACCTCCATCCAACACAGGCGATGCAATTCAGCAGGGCAACGACCTTGGAGCCGTGCCATCCCCATGAGAAGCGCGCTGACGTCATTTGTCGCAGCCCGGTTTTGGGACCGAATGTCGCCCTGTATCACACGATACGCATCACATCAGCCCTCCGAAAGCACCGGGCAAGGGCAAGAGACAGAGCGCACATGTAAGCAGGCAGGAAACATGTCAGGACGTTGGTGAAGAAGATCGTGAGCATGCTGTCCCCGAGCCCGAGGAAGAAGAGACTGGGGCCGAGGAGCCCGATCCCGAATGTCGGCAGCACACAGTTCGCTGCCATCCACACGAAAAAGTTGCCGCTCGGGTGGTCGGGGCGCTGATCCTCCGGCACGCGCTGGATGCCTCGGGCCTCGATGCCGATCTAATGCAGCGAACAGATCGATCGGGTCAGAAGAAGAAAAAAACGGCGCGTTGAGGCGGGCGGTGGCGCACCTTGCGCTCGAGCGCGGCGCTGAGGGCCAGCGAGCGGCCCCAAAAGCTTGTCGGGTCGACGGGCTCAGCCTCCGCCCCGTCGAAGACGTTCAGCTCCTCCTTCGTTGGGTCATGGACGACGACGTCCCCGTGCGACGAGCCTTTCTCGGGATCTGAGGTAGAGCCGGAATCCTTGATGGACGACGACATGGGCGGGCCAAAGTCAGGGTCGTGTGCGGGAGGAAGGGAGGGGGGACGGAGGGGGACGGGCACTCGGAGAGGGGAAAAACTATGCGGACGCGAGACACTTTTTATTGAAATGTCGTTACAGGACTGGCTAGCCTGGGCGCCGGCAGATCAAATCTCCCGTATTCCATATGGCCGATAAGTGGGTCTCTCCCCCAAAACGGGACCGTGACCAAACCGGCAGCGGCGCGCGTGTGGGGAAGATAAGCATGTGCACAGGACTCTGGCTCGTCGTTTCGACGTTCGCTCCAGTCCAAGTGTCTGACACGTCGTCATGCGTGAGATGCTTACGGCGGATATGGCCTCACTTATGGGTGCAGAGCAGAGAGTTCGCGGATGGCCGAACAGAAGCATACACACACGCTCGACACAATCACGCCGGCGTTCAGAGTTCTCGTGGCGCCCCCCATTCGATTTCAAAATCCCAGGCTGCGCAGGATAAGGGCCGCAAGCTTCATGCATGGCTGCGCTGCGACGCGGAGGCGGCTGTCTGCATGTCGCTCCTGTCGACGGACTTATCTCTGCGTACGTAACGTATATATGTCGCGCGTGCCTGGTCTGTCACAAGCTCCAACCCGAGCTCCCACCCACCCTTTGTCATGGCCGATCACTCCCGTCTAGAACCAGATCTGAGCCTGTATCTGTCTGTGTGTGCGTCTTCTCCTCCACCCCAGTTCCCAGGCCGACTTTGGCGCCCGCAGATCCTGTTGCGCTCCGGCGAAACGCCTCCCGCCCGGGACTTCCGGGGCTTCTGCTCAAGGAAGGCCCTGGGTCGGCCATCGTGAGATCTCCATGGATAAGTCGCGCGTGCCAAGAATAGTCGCATGGTCGTCAGACACTTATCTGCGACGTCTCCCCCCCCTCCCAAAGGCTGACGTCGCTAGACTATCAGATAGTGCGGTAGTAAGTACAGCGATCAGCGGTGCGGCAGTTGCATCAATGTCGAGCAATCCCGATCTGCTGCGTGGTCCTGCCAGGTCCTGTCTAGGCAGGATACGCCAGGGGGGACAGGTATTTCCGGTCGAAACATCGCCGGATTCAGGCCAGTTTGCGCGGAACTACAGGCCGAAAATCGTCACGTTGTTGTGTGACTCCCCGTCTCTTGACCGTGCTGGACGGTGATTTTGTGCGCATCCAACTTTTAGGCACTTGCACGCTCAGCAAGAGCAAACCATTGAAGCAGATCGACAACTATCCATCCTCGGCGCTGGTCAGCTGGCTTGGAATCTTCTCTGGCTGGCCTGGCGCTAGCCCTGGGGGCGAGATCCTGGCGAAAGTCTCCGGCATCTGCGCTTTCCTGCATGGGATAATCACAGCTCCTACGTAGTGCCCGGGGTTTCTCCTGTCGGTACCTGAGTATCCCCGGCCCCCAGTCCCGAAGAGGACAGGGCTGTTTTACGAAAAGGACGGCCCGACACGCACAGCTGACCCACCCGCATCCAAGATGAAGCGCTGGCCCCACCCACGTCCAACTCCCATGTCTTTACAGCAGCCATCCAGCCATCGAGCCACCCAGCTGTTTGACTCGATCTTCGTGTCGCGAGCACCCTGTTCGCCGCCGGACGACCTAAATGCAAAAGTCAGAATGAGGCCCGCAGGCACCGTTTCATGATCAGCTCCCCATCCAATCTGTCCATTTTGCTCAACGATTGCTGCGCACGCTTCTCCTCCGGCGGACGACCTCGACGGGTACTGCGTGGCTCCCGAACCGGAGGCTGGCACCACATGCGCTGTATGCAGCCCTGGGTTCTCGTGGGGACACCGGGGCCCAGCGACTGGCGGTGATTGCAAACTCTGGTATGTAATGCCTCCTCATGCTAATGGCCAGATCAGCTTTTATCAAAGCTCCATTGGGGTCCCAGTGACGCCATTTCGGAATCCTGTGCGGATGCTTCTGCGTTGGAGGCGCTCGCCCATGCGTGAGACTTCGTGAGCTACGGGTTGCTACTTGGCGAAAAACCCTCGTTCAGATGTCGAGACGGATAATTGAATTGTACAACAGTGCTGTTATGTGATGATATAATACAGCTGCGGTGAGATGGCAAAAGCCCAAGTGCATATTACCACGAAAGTCTATGAAGAGACATGTCCGTCGTCGTTTCGGCAGCAGGGTCTATGAGTTTGAAACAGATGCTCGAAAGCAGACAGACAGACAGGACAGGGACAGCCATCATTCCGTCCTTTGCGAGGGAATCCGAATAGCACACAGCATGCCGCGCGTCGTGTCGCGCAGAGCGGCCTGTCCAGCCCAAGCCGAATAACCCTGCAGACAGACAGAGACAATGACGCTAAGCATGCTCAGCGTTGAGCTCGTCCTGATGACCCGCATCCTCTGCTTCCTGCCTCGCACGCTCTTGCTCCACCCACTCCAGATACGCCGCCAGCCGTTCTGCCCCGCCGTCCTCCAGCTCGCCATCTCTCCGGATGCACACCAGAAAACTCTCAGGTGCGAGCGCTCTGCGGTCCGGCCCCGGCTCCGTTTTGTTCGGCTGTCCGACATATTGTTCCCAAAGTTCGCCCCACATGGCACCGGCGTCCTCTCTGGCGCCTACAAGTCGGTTCAATGCCAGCAGATCCATGTCCGGGATCAGCAGCGGTGGCGTGCGAGCTATTGCCACTGCCCATCCGGCACCAGCACCGCTGCTCTCGACGACACGCACAATTTGCCCTTCAACCAGTGACATCTCCGACGTGTCCTCCGGCTCGAAAGCGAACTGTGCCTGGTACAGCCCAGGGGGGACAGGAACATCAGCGTAGTCGTCATACGGTTCGTCATCGTTTTCGTCGTCGGCAGCAAAGTTGCGCGCCAGGTCAGCAGATGAGACGTCCGGCCGGGGCGAGGGCAGCGACCCCGATCCTGACGACGACCCGACAGTGCCCCACAGGCCAAACCGACCAAGCCCACCCCAGCCGTTATCGACCCCGTCTTCGTCCTCGTCGATATCCACGTCGTCCTCGCCCGGGCCGTAATCCGACTGCCGGCTCTCGCCCAGCAGCCGCCGGCGCAGCACACGCGGGTCGTTCAGGCGGGGCACGTCCGGGCCCTGGCCCGCGTGCCGCGGATCCTTCCCGTCGAACGCAAAGTCGCGGATGACGATAGGTGCGCGGCGGGCCGCGATGGCCTGCGCGGAGCCCGGCATCCCCTCGGGTGAGGAGGCGACAGTCACCACCAGATCGTCCGCCGCGCCGGCGCCGTCCGCAGGCATGCTGGCAGTCGCCACGCCCGTGACGTCCGCAGCACTGATGCTCTGGCTCAGGCGATGCCTAACACCCGCCAGCACTTTCGAGGTTCGGCGGCTGTGGCTCGCGCTGGCGGACCCGCTCCGCACAGAGGCGGAGGACGACGATCGGGCGAGGGAGGTGCGCCGGGACAGGCCGGGTGATGAGGGCGCGGGCCGCGTGCTGCTGAGCAGCTCGCCGAAACCAGTGGGGGTTGTTGGGGTGCGAGGTGCAGAGGACGGAGGCGGTGGGAATGACACCCGTTTGGCGGAGAGTGGCGTTGGAGTGGAACCGCCAGCGGAGGGCAGGCCAGTTGCGGAGGAGCCCTGCTGTAATATCGGAGTTGTCCCCGTCGCTCGGAAGTCGCTCCCAATCGGATTCGACGTGGCAGTAGGTGTAGGAGAGACCGGGGATTGGACGAGGACCGGGTGCAGGAGAGCGTTCTCGTCTAGCCGAAGTGGCGTTTTTGCTTTTGTAGTTGTGGTCATTGCAGAAGATCTTCTCGGGCGATTGCGATGGGCTGCGTGCGTAGATTGTGAAGGGAGATGCCAATGGGAGGTCAAAAGTGGCTGTGACCCGGTTGCCATCGTTACCCAATCGATTACCTCAGGGTCGATCACCCGATTTTAGGATCAAATGGCGGGCAGCGCATCTGATGCGACACGCTTGGCTGTGACACCGCTTCGGTACTTCAGACCTGCAAAATGCTCACAAACTACTCCAGCTCATCGTCAAACGCCTCTCCTTTCTCAAAGATGACAGTACTTATAGCCATCCTACCACTCATCCACTTGAAATGTATGGTCAAAATATAGTACAGTTTATCAGCGAAGACTCGATAAACTGGATTTTTCAGTGTCAACGAAATCAGTCATTCAAAGCAATTGGATGGGGTATCGAATTGAATACATGTCTGCCTGTGCTCTGTGCTGTCCTTTGGACTTGTATATACAATGTTCTTCGACGATTACGTTACGGACATATGCTGAGAAAACACTCATTCCAGATCCTGCAGCAGGCGAAAGATATTCTAGAAAACTATCAGCCTCTGCAATGTATTAGTGGGAGAGGAGGGAAAGTAGACGGACCAACAACAGAGTCTGGCTCGCCGGGCACCATGCCCAGACGAACCTCTTCTTCACAATCGCAGAGACACACCCAGTCGTCAGAGCCCCAAGCCTCTGAGGGCCCATCAGCACCCGCCGGACATCTGTCGCTTCGAGATTCGAGCCAGCCTTCTGCAGAGCCTCGCTGATGGCGGTGAGTCGAAACAACGAGGGCTCGACGTCTTCGGCGAGGAAGGTCAGGACGGAGTGGAAGGTGCGGGCGGTCAGGAGGGAGTGCTCATGCAGGGCTCCGACCACGCGAGCGAGGTTGACGCCTCGGGAGTAGGGCGAGTCGTAAGGCGTCGGTAGGTGCAGTTCGATGGACCAACCTCCAGTGGGCTAAACTCAATGTCAGCGCCAATCCAGGCCTTGATTCTGGAAAGATGCCGTACCTTCCAATACGAACTGAATGTCTTAACAACCTCCTCCTCTACCAGGTGGTTCCAGCTCTTCATTCCTCCGAGGTAATGCTGCCCCAGGCGCTCCGCGACAAGACACACACTGATTACATTGGCCGCATCCTCGGTGGCACGGCGCAAGAGGTGCGAAATGACCGAAACCGGATCCGTCCCGCGGTCCAGCTGCTCCATGCAGTACCCAAACAGCTCGCTCTCCATCACCGTGAAGCCAAACTGGTCCGCATCCTCCCCGTCGCCATAGTACTTGTCCACTAGCGTCTCGGGATCCGAGCACGACGAATCGGACGATGCGGAGGGGGAGCGCCACCGCTGGGCGCCCGGCACGAATGGGCGCGCGTGTACGTTGAGCGCCCGGCCGCGTTCGAGTGATGGTCGCGAAGGAGAGCTTGGCCGCCGCATCACGACGGCGCGCAGCGGCTCGACGATCTCGGCGACGTGTCTGTGGTGCGTATAAACCGAAGGAGGCTCATCATCGATCGTGCCCAGTGCCATCTCCATGTCCTCAAACTGTTCGAAACCCGTCTCGAGTTGGTCGCGCACGCGAGCAGGACGGGATTTCGGACGCTCGTCTTCGTTGAACTCGGTGGCATCGTCGTAATGCGCGGTGCGGAAGTCGTAATGCGGGGTATAGGACACACACACTGGGTCCATAGTTGACATGGGAAAGGAGAGAGAGTGGAGGCGACGGCTTTGTACGAAGGGCTTGCGGCGCCCACAGAGCTCCGGTTATAAAGCCCACTCGGATTGGAAACGAGGCGGCACGGTGGGACCAAGCGCTCGGTTAGGACAATGGCGTAGCCATTTGCCTTTGTCTTCGAATTGCCGCTTCGGGGAATCGTCAGCGTCAGTCCTTTGAGAAAGGCTCATATTTCTCGCAACCCACACGACTCGAGAGATCCATTGTCTTCTGTCTGCGTTTCGGAGACCCTGTGAGAGGGCCCGAGTAATCCAAAAACGTCTGATAGGGTCTGGGTCTGTGGCGGTGCACGCAGGTGGCTGGCGACACGATCACGTGTGATGTCCAATTCGCACAAGATGAACACATGAGTGAAAAACAGTCGCTAGCTCGGCGAGTACGTCCCTTTTTGGGGGACTCTTAGGTGTTAAGAAATTCTGCACAGTCATTCATGTCTTTCAGAATTTCTCATCAGCCTGCAATGTTGATCCCTAGATAATCAGAGCAGGTAAGATCAAGTACAGTAATCCCAACTTTTTTTTTGCACAAAGTTCGAATGAGAAGTTAAACTCAGATGAATCTGTACCATGTTGGGAGAATTTTTGTGAACACACAGGTTGCCTGCTCTCCGCTATAGTTCTACAGGAGGTCGTGACGAACCTTCTTACTTCAGAAGGCAGTGCACCTTCCGAGCAATATATATGAATAGGATAGCCTGTCATCTCGAGCTTCAGTAAAACCCTGCTTTTATCACGGTGAAGTTATACGCAGATACAACCAATGAGAATCATAAATGCATGAAGCAAGAATCAGCGCAAACGTTGAACACCAACCACGCGCCTTTTCTTATTACGGGCGCTGTGTCTGGACCAGCGGGTTCTGTCGCAGACAATACCGCGCAGTGGAGATACGACCAGTAGCGATCACCTATAAGACAGAGTCTCAGCGAGTGTAGAGACACAGGAGCTATATCATTAGCTGTACCTATAAGACAGAGTCTATGGTACAAGTCATAAGTAAGGTCATTAGATCGTAAGGGAGAATGCATACCTCAGCGAGTGTAGAGACACAGGAGCTGAGGATATGGAGCGTATAGTACTAGGTTTATATACCAGTCTGGAGCAGATATCATGATGTCATAGTGGAGTAATGATATCATAGATGAGTAATGGATGACGCAATAATGAGGTCAGGTATGAGGTCATTGTGGAGCGAGCCAAAGTAATCTAAGAATACTACTTATGATGTCATGTCTACATACTGTGATAGTCGCTAATACAAACAAGCTTCAACAGGTTCTTGATATCGAACAGAAAAATCACTCTCTGCGAAGAGCCATCGACTCCTCTGCGATGGGTCGGAAGCTGTTTTGGTATACGCTCAAGAATTCCGTATTGAACTTAACCTAGCGAATCGTCTGCGCTCAGTTCGCTGCACATCGCGGCGGTTCGAGTCGCACTGCTTGCTATGAATAGTTCCTTTCAGTTGGTGAACGCACAAGATTCATAAGATTCTCCTTCTCATGTACCGATCGAATTGGCAAGCATTGTAAAACTCTTCCTGAACTTGGATGTAGGCGGGATTTGGATCTATATAGAGCACGAGCTTCCTAGCTGCAGTCTATCTTCCTTTGGAGAGTGTATGCCCTTAGCAGGTCCTCTATGCGTTTCATGGGACTCTCCCAAAGATCGAGAAATGTCAGTTTTTGTCACTGTAAGTAGATGATTGACAGATCAATGATCGCTGGATGCTGGCCTTGGCCTTGGGCAGTAACATGTCTTATCTTGAACCAGAGAAGGCAGGTCCATATCTACTCTGAATTCAGGCAGAGACCGGGGGATGATCGTAATATAAACATGGCGACGCAAACAATAGTCCGGTATCCCTAAAAATCAAACCAAACGACCAATAACTGGCTCGACCTGGATTTTCGCCAGCCAATCCTGCCATAGATTGAGGATGTCGTGCGGGGGGTCCGAAAGCATCTGGGAGGTATAATCAGCATGGAGAAAGAAAACGAAACAGAGCTAGGCATACCTGGAGCCACGATATCACAGCGGTGGCTTCGGCTGCCACCCGCGAGTAGACGAATCTGGACTGCCTCAGCGCATCGAGCAGGCCTGCCGACGGCAGTGCATGCGCCAGATGCTTCGTCCACCGCTTTCGCACATACTGGTACGTAATCCTATGCAAACGGATGAGAATCAACATCCCCGTAACAGTCTGCACGCGCACAGGTCGACCCCATCCTCGGCATCGTCCATCCCGTGCCCCAGAAACCGGATGCACCGCCTCGCCATCTCCCCGTGGTGGATGCCGTGATTGACCCACAGATGGCCGGGCGCGCGTCTTGCGTCGAACAGAAACTCGATCGTGTTTCGCTGGGGGATCCGGATCGTGCGTCGGCGCTTGTGGCCCGGGTTCCATGGGGTGCTCGCGAGATCCAACGCCGGGCTGTCCTCCGGTACGTGGACGACCGGAGACGCAGTTTTCAGCGCTTTGACCGCTTCTTGTTCGATGGGGTCGAGAAGGTTTCGCAGCTCATTGAACGCCAATGGCTTGTACAGGACCGTGAGCGAGCCAAGCGCACGGAGCAGGGAAGCCGGTCCGGTCCGGGGATCACGTGGCGAGACAGTCGAGAGGATATACGTGACCAGCTGCTCGAAAGGACTCCTGCCGATCGCAGGATTCGCGGCAGCAGAAAGCACCTCGCTCAGCCTCTGCGAAGGCAGGCCATCTGGATGGCCGACATATTGCATGACCGTCGCAGCGTACAGGAAATGGCGGGCAGTCGTGTTGACGAGGAAATGGATGATGTCCTCTGTGGGCCAGTGCTCGGACTCAGCAGTGGCCTGGAACGCCGGATGTGTGGTCTCGATGTGCGCGAATTCGGCTTTGAGAAAGGAGAAGATGTCCGCGTCGAACGTGAGCTCGTCGAGGTGAAGATGGAGACGAATGGGCCGGTATGTCGGGCTGTTGATCGCCAGGAGAATGTCGGGCGACGGTCGGGAGGTGACAAAGAAGTATAGCGGGAGGTGGTGCACTGCGATCAAGCGCGCAATCAGAGACAGAAGAACGCGCTGATTCTCCCCTCCGACACAAGCATCCAACGCATCAATCACGACCAACACCGGATCCATCGCCGCAACATCGACACCGACTCCTGCCAAGGCCGCAAACGGCTCCAGTATAAGTTCATGCGCCTGGACCTCGACATCGCGCGTGCGGATCGCCGTATCTTGCTGCACCGCTTGGGAGATGTGCGGCCTGAGTGCGGGGATCCGCTCCGCCAGCTGCCGCGCGATGGCAGGCACCACGGCCTGCACGTCGCACACCTCCGCGTCCGCGTGGTCGAAGAAGAACGTCGCGCCGAGCGACCCCGGCCCGCGGTGCGCCGCGCAGTACTCCGCCACGGTCTGCGCGACGGCCGATTTGCCACAGCCGGGCGAGCCGCAGAGCCACATGATGCGCGGGCCGACACGCAGGCGCACGTTCTCTGTCCATGCGAGGATGCTCGAGAAGACGGGCTTGCGGGTCTGCCCGTGGCAGCGTGGGACGGGCTCGCGCGCGGGCGAGTCGTAGAGGGCGCTGCGGGGGAGGAACGCGTCGAGGAGGCGGATGCCTGCAAGCGGAATGGAATGGGGAAGGGGGTCTGAGTCAGACCAAAGATCTGGCAAAGATGGATGAATACCACCACGCACCGTCCTCGCCGGAGTACAGATCCTCCCGTGCTGGTGGTGCGGGCGCCGCGCTGGAGCTCGAAGGCTGCCCCGTGTCTAACATTGCGGGGTAGGGCAGCTCTGCAGGGCGATGCGATGAGGCCACTGGGGCTCAGATATAAGTACAGATATGACCAGGCTCCTCGGCAATTGTGACGGTCGGCTGCTTCTGTAGACCGATGGTGTGCCGCGGGAACGGCTCGGAGCCAGACCAGGCGCGAGTCCAGGTGTCAGGGTATAGTGAAAGATCCACAACAACATCCGTCGCACATCTCAATCAACAGGTATGAGTGGGATGATCCGTTGCTTATTCGGAATGAGCGAGGTATTCGGATAGATTGTGAGCCGACGAACAGATGGTGTGTGCCTGTGCTTGGTGCAGGTGGATGACGTGCCCTGATCAGGTGACGTGTTCTCTGTCTCCCCAATCATTCAACTGCAACGCACCATCTGGAACGTTTTTTGCCTTCCGGTTGAAGTAGTCTGAGATTACAACCAACGTCTTCCTGTCCCTTTAAAATTCTGAAGTCTTCGAATTCCGACCGCCGATTTCCGTGATCCCAACTGATTGCTCATGATCTGCGCGTAAATTTGGCTGCGATAAAACATGGGTTCGACGGTGTATGTCCAACGCACCATGTGTGTTCTTGCTAAAGTCACTGCTTCTCCCTTCCTTTTCAGCTGGCACATGACGTTCGCCATCCAGGCGTTTTGAGAGTGCCACATGATTCGAGAGGAATTTAGCCGGATGTGCAATCCCCAGATTCTATAGGTCTGCGCAAAGCAAGAAATCTATTTACGAGCTGGTAGGCCCAGAATCCCGGAGTGGTGTGCACGGCTTCCGGCCGACTGTCCCAGCAATCAGGCCTGGAAGATCATCAACAATTTATGTGGAAGCACAGAGCCCAGCAGACTTCAATTCAAGTGCTTTCTCTCTCAGAGCTCCTTGTTGGTGTTGATAGCTAGAATCGAGATAGTGCAAAGCTGGGCCTTGCAGATCCTATCTCTTTTATGTCTTCCGTTCAGTGCCGCACGTTCCTGATGATAGAAAGATTGAAACGAGAGGAAGACTCTCGTCTTGACGGTCGACATACGGTTTACTGAACGGCAACAAGTCTTCCCTACTTAGATCCCGTCCACCAGGATTGATCTTGGAGTGAACAGCACGGGGCAAGATGTGAGAAGCGGCCTTCAGATCTCTGGTGCAGAGATCATTCGCCGGGAAAGCCGAATAGCCTTAGCTCCAGAGAACGCCCTGTTGACGGATTGCCCACGACGAAGAGTCCCTTGGCTGTGAATGTCGGCTCGCATTGCGCTCGCCACCAGTCGGTGGTATCCGGTACATTCTGCGAAGACTCCACGTCGCATCAACACACGGAATAAGCTCCATCGCTCGGTTTGTTGCACAAAGAACAACGTATCGGGTCCCTTGAGCGGTTTCGCACATGGTGGACCAACAATGAGCTTGAGAGGCGAGATCCAGTTGCTGAATATGTCCTTCAGGGCGTACCAGCAAGAAAATCGCGCTCGCGAACATGACCGAAGTAGACACTATGAGGAGCTTTATATATCATTTGCCCTCTGCCACATCCCCCAAACGCGTAGTAACAAGAAATGACCGGGGTTTCTCGCCATCAGCATTGGACGCTCGAGCGTCAAACCGCCGCTTACACCACGGGTGCCGAGAAGAGTTCGGCAAGGGAGCTTCGTCAGAGATAATGACTTGAGTAGCATCCAGACACCGGAAACCACCCGCTTGGCTTCTGAGAAAGACCATAGAGCGTCTAGAACCGTGCTGCGCAGTGCAATTGCCCATGGTGACACAAAGAGGGATTGCGATTTGTGAGAAACACCCCGCCGTTGGTGCGCGCTTGATAGGCTCAGCTCATTGTTTAGACGATCAGCATGCACCGATGTGTTGATATGGTATGAAGTGTGCGTGCGAATGACACGCTGTCGGTGTTTGGACCTGTGGACATTCATCCCATGATCGCCCAGCGAGTCCATGACATAATCAAGGAGAAGAAACGCACCACCCAGTACCACTCATCAAACACAAACGGGCGAATCTGTCACAGCGACGCAGTGCGTGATACTGAGCTTCCGTCGCTTCATCTCAGTGCTGTCAGCAAGCAATTCACACCGGGCCTGTAGGATGTTGCAGTCGGGCACTGTCAGCGCTCGAGCTGAGGCCATTGCAGCTGACGAACAATATGATATTGGGCGGAACCTCAGGAACCACGGTACCCACCCGATTCACTTAAAAAGTGTCCCCGTGTCCCACAGATCCAAAAGTCCTTTCCTTCCCGAGTTCTGGGCGACTCGCCCAGCTATCTCTACGCTCACCGATGTCGGAAACGCCGTACACCATCGCCGTATCGGACGATGCCCTGGCCTCGCTTCACCAAAAACTCAAAGCGACGAGATTGCCGGACGAGCTGGACGAGGCGGCGTGGGACTACGGCGTGCCACTGGCAGACATCAAGCGGCTCGTCGCCCGATGGCGCGACGGGTACGACTGGCGCACGCACGAAGCTGCTCTCAATGCGGAACTGCCTCAGTTCACCCGCGACATCGCTGTGGACGGCCACGGGACGCTCAACATCCACTACGTTCATCAGAGGAGCGTAGTACAGGGCGCAGTCCCGCTGTTGTTCGTGCACGGGTGTGAGTTGCGGGTTAGGATCGGGTCTTCAAGTGGACTGATGGGTGCTTTTTCTCGCTAGGGCCGGGCAGCTTCTTCGAGGCAAGGAAGATCGTGCCGTTGCTTGTCGCGCGTTCGAGTGAACATCCGAGTTTCCACGTTGTTGTGATGAGTCTACCAGGGTTCGGGTTCTCTGAGGCCCCGAGAAAGAAGGGATTCGCCATTGACCAGCATGCTGAGGTTCTTATGCGCAGCATTCGTATACGCTCAAGAGTCTGACAAGGCGTAGGTCGGCCACAAGATCATGCTTGCGTTGGGTTACAACGAATACGGTGAGATGACCTGAGCTCAAACGTCTTCGACTCTGACACATGGATTCAGTCACACAAGGGGGCGACTGGGGCTACTTCGTACGCTGATCCACGATCCATCTCCAGTGTTTCTGTTCAACAATCTCGCAGATCACGCGCCGCATCGCGAAGCGCTATGGCCACCAGCACAACAAAGCCTGGCACACCAACTTGCCCTTGTGTGTGCTCCGTGCAACTAGACGCCACTCTTTGATCTGATTCAATCTAGGGGACGTCCACCGACGCTTTACTACGAGCCGCTTTCATTTTTGGCTTTGTGTGTAAGAGGGTTGACGCAGGAGGAAAAAGACGGTCTTGCGCAGACGGGACGGTTCAACAGCCGCTCGAGAGGATTCCATGCCCAGCAATCGACGCGACCCCAAACTGTCGGCTACGCGCTGGCCGATTCCCCCGTCGGACTACTGGCCTGGATCTACGAGAAACTGGTGGAATTGGCGGACAAGTATCCCTGGAATGACGACGAAGGTGCGTGATCCTTTCCTCTTCGTTTTCGGCTAGTCACGCATTAGCCACAGTCCTGACCTGGATATCTATCTACTGGTTCTCCCGCGCCGGGCCCACTGCGGCCAGTCGCATCTATTATGAGTTTGCAGAGGGTCGGTCGGATGTGACAAAGGACATCTATGGACCCGCAGATTACCCGACTATCCCGATGGGCATGTCTCACTTCGCGGGAGAAAAGGTCAATATCCCAGTTAGGTGTGTGTGTTCCTTCGGCCCCAAAAACGTGCGCTGATCTTCGATATCCATCTCTTCCAGCTGGACCAATGCCTCCGGAAACATCGTACACCGTAACAAGCACGAGCGTGGAGGCCATTTTCCTGCGTATGAAGCTCCGCATTCGCTCGTCGATGATCTACGTGCGATGTACGGAAAGGGCGGCCCGGTGTTCGACATTGTGAAAGGACACAGCGGCTATGATTGAGAGACGCAAGATGGGTTTGCCAGAGTGTAGTCGATCGGTGGTCCTGTAGAATCAACTGCCAGAATGAGACCACCTGGGCGGAAATTTAAGCTCCGTTCCACCCAAATCAACGATAGTGACATTGTAGGGACAGGGAGGATTTGTTATATCCGTCATATATTTCTCTCTCGGTAGGTTTTTTCTGAGATGTTTGATGTTACTAGTCCGGGATCCTGCCAGCCCAACAACAGATCTTCGCACACCGCCAGATGTTGCCTTGCTTGTCAAGGCTTCTCCACCCTCATAATTGTCCTGATGGCGTGTCACGCGGTTTGCTCCGACTCTCCGATTCGATCCGGCGGCACGCGTGCTTTCACGCATTCGATCCTCGACCACGCACTTTCACGTTCATATATATACACACATAGCTACGAATTCGTTCTGTGTTCGCCGCCACTGGAGTCGCGTATCTGTCATCAACTTAACGCTCTTAACAACCGTGTGCACACGTACGATAGTTCTTTCTCTGCCGCGCTGATCCTATCCCACCATTCTTTTGTGACGCTGTTCTCCTTTTCCAGACGGTCGTCTTCAGCCAGCAAGCTCGGGTCATGCGATTTCTTGAACGTTGAGTCGTCGAAATCCCTCAAGAGCCTGATCGTTTCTCGGCCGGAGCTGCGCGACAATGCCACATACACATTGAATAGGTTCAGCCCTCCACTGGGCGGCGTTGCAATGTCGACGAGAACTTTTTTCAATGTCTGCCCTTGGGATCGATAATCCGTGAACGCGTATGCTCCGGTCAATGGAAATTGCCGTCGTTGGATCGTTTTTGTCACAGCTGCGCCAGCCGGCAACTCCGTCTTGACACGGTACGTTGTCTTGCCTAGTTCTATCGGAAGTACACCGGCCTCAAGTCCTTTCAATGTCGAAGCTCGCGTGCGTTCGAATTTGACCAAGATGAAGATGGGAAGCTTTCACCTAAGGAACATCCGCCGCGGAGGGTACCCCCCCCTGTTAGGGGTCAAAATTCGACTGATTTGGGTACCTAACAGGGGGGGTACCCTCCGCACTTTTGGCCATCCTCCGCACCAAAACCTCCGCAAATGGGTGCCAAGCATCCGCAACAAGCCCTGTAACCAGCTGCGGATCCATCCGCTCCTGGCTCTCCCCGTGATCGTTGTGATGCCATCATGCAGGCCATCCACGGACCATGTCATGTGACTGTTCTCCAGTGCGGAACCCTCCGCATTTCTTGCTCTTTTATTTTTTCAGTTCTAGCCTGTATATATTGCTTCACTGTGGACTTGAGCCTTCTGTAGCCAATGTATGCAAGTGCTTTTGACTCCCAAATGATTATAGCTGCTTCAAAGACCTCTATGTGCAGCAAACAAAGAGTGTTAGTTGGGCCAATTCAGTGCTTGGGCTGTGCAGATGCTCTGCATTGTTTCTGGATTGCTAAATTGGTTGCTCAGAACCTTAATGCGTAGGATAAACATAGAACGCAAGCTTCTCAGATGCTGCCAGGTTCCTTAGAACCCAGGTAGGCCTCTCCAGCACCCACAGCAGCTGAAACGTGTGCCATGCGGATGCATCCGCCACCTGCTGTCCAGGGCCAGATTGGGGCAGGCCCTGTTCAGTACAGGCTCTGCAGACCATTCCACTTGCACACCTTCACCTGCCATGATCAGTGCATGCAGCCAGGATCCTCCTGCATTGACAGCATGCTGTGCAGATGCATCCGCCCCTTGCGGTCCAGAGCCAGATTTCAGCATAGGCTCTGTGGATGGTTCAACTTGCACACCATCAGCTGCCAGGCTCCTTAGAACCCAGAGAGCCCTTGCCAGCACCCACAGCAGCTTAAAAGTGTGCCATGCAGATGCATCCGCCACCGGCTGTCCAGGGCCAGATTGGGGCAGGCTCTGCTTGGCACACGCTCTGTGGACAGTTAAAATTACAGACAATCACCTGCTATGATCGGTGCATGCAGCCAGGCTCCTCTCACATTGACAGCAGCTTGAGAGCATGCTGTGCAGATGCATCCGCCACCTGCTGTCCAGAGCCAGATTGGGACAGGCTCTGCTTGGCACAGGCTTTGTAGACAGTTAAAATTGCACACTGTTAGCTGCTATAGTCGGTGCATGCAGCCAGTATCCTCCTGCATCAACCACAGCTTGAATATGTGCTGTGCGGATGCATCCGCCCCCTGCGGTCCAGAGCCAGATTTCAGCACAGGCCCTGCAGACTCTTTGGCCTGGGGTCGCCCTCTGCATCAGAGCTCTGCAGATGCAGCCCAATCATCTGCAGCAGGCTCTAAAAACATCTGCTGATCCATCCGCATCTCATTTTACTGGTGATGCCCTTGATGGCATCATTTTGGTGCATTGCAGATGGTCCTTGAACATCCGCACAGGGATTTGATGGGTCCTGCGGATCCATCTGCACTCAAAATAATCTTTGCAGGCCCTGCTTCTTCTACGTGAATGGCCTGAAGAGCCTCTGAAACATTGTTCATCTGGTGCACAAATGGATCTGCACATTGGAATGGGGGCTGTGGCTCTGTCCCACAAGCCAATCTTATGCAGCATATATCTACTGACATTTTAGCCAGTGCACCGAGCTCCAGAGGCTCTGGGGACATCCAGAGCACACAAGGAAATGAACTGCTGATGCATCTTCAGCCAAATTGGCCAGCTAAATATGTGGCTGCTGCCCAGACAGCCCAAATACATTACATCACTTGAATGAATAATGCTATTGACCAATACAATTCATTACACAATTTCTGGAAGGGATATTGCATGGAATTTGATATGTAAGCAAGCCAAACAGTGATTCTCCTATCTGCGGATGCTATTTCAACCATCCGCAGAAGCATCTGCAGCAGCTAGTGACATGGTTGCGGATGTGTCACATGACCCTCCGCAGTCTCTTTGTGGGACATATCTGCTCAATATAGCCTCAATGGATGTCCTCTGTCTCTGCAGCATGTATCTAAGATGTCTTTTTTGCTACCTGCATAGTTCTATCAACAATAGGAAATTTATCTGTCCTGCACAGGATTTTAAATTCTTTGCACCATAATTGTTGCTCATATACAGGTCGGATAAGCTCAGCTGTCCCACTAGGGAATCGAAACTTGTCAGAGACAAGCTATAAGCCAGCAGACACTGAACCTGGAAAGAACCTATCTGTACAATATAAAAAAAGTGAATGGAACATGATTCATATTTCAAGCTTTACACATTCATACATGTCTTGCAATTCAAGGGCCAAGACTTTAAGACACAGCATTCAATGTTTTGAGCTCAAAAAAGTCTCTTAGATCAAAAATATTTTCGATTTTGGTCAATGAGCAGGTTGAGCTCAGTACTACCATAGAAAACTGTGTTCAGGTCATGGCACTTTTCTGCATGACAAAAATATTTTCCTCAGTGAGCTGAATCAAGTTTATATTCGAGATGGGGCATATCTAAATAGCATCTGAACAAATTCTAAGCAGGATCGCAGCATCATAGCTTTCTTCAGTGCAAGTTTGAATGATCCGCAGATGCATCCGCAAGATCAACATTTCAAAATTGTGTCCCTGTGAAGGCTATGATGCTGCGATCCTGCTCAGAATTTGTTCAGATGCTATTTAGATATGCCCCATCTCGAATATAAACTCGATTCAGCTCACTGAGGAAAATATTTTTGTCATGCAGAAAAGTGCCATGACCTGAACACAGTTTTCTATGGTAGTACTGAGCTCAACCTGCTCATTGACCAAAATCGAAAATATTTTTGATCTAAGAGACTTTTTTGAGCTCAAAACATTGAATGCTGTGTCTTAAAGTCTTGGCCCTTGAATTGCAAGACATGTATGAATGTGTAAAGCTTGAAATATGAATCATGTTCCATTCACTTTTTTTATATTGTACAGATAGGTTCTTTCCAGGTTCAGTGTCTGCTGGCTTATAGCTTGTCTCTGACAAGTTTCGATTCCCTAGTGGGACAGCTGAGCTTATCCGACCTGTATATGAGCAACAATTATGGTGCAAAGAATTTAAAATCCTGTGCAGGACAGATAAATTTCCTATTGTTGATAGAACTATGCAGGTAGCAAAAAAGACATCTTAGATACATGCTGCAGAGACAGAGGACATCCATTGAGGCTATATTGAGCAGATATGTCCCACAAAGAGACTGCGGAGGGTCATGTGACACATCCGCAACCATGTCACTAGCTGCTGCAGATGCTTCTGCGGATGGTTGAAATAGCATCCGCAGATAGGAGAATCACTGTTTGGCTTGCTTACATATCAAATTCCATGCAATATCCCTTCCAGAAATTGTGTAATGAATTGTATTGGTCAATAGCATTATTCATTCAAGTGATGTAATGTATTTGGGCTGTCTGGGCAGCAGCCACATATTTAGCTGGCCAATTTGGCTGAAGATGCATCAGCAGTTCATTTCCTTGTGTGCTCTGGATGTCCCCAGAGCCTCTGGAGCTCGGTGCACTGGCTAAAATGTCAGTAGATATATGCTGCATAAGATTGGCTTGTGGGACAGAGCCACAGCCCCCATTCCAATGTGCAGATCCATTTGTGCACCAGATGAACAATGTTTCAGAGGCTCTTCAGGCCATTCACGTAGAAGAAGCAGGGCCTGCAAAGATTATTTTGAGTGCAGATGGATCCGCAGGACCCATCAAATCCCTGTGCGGATGTTCAAGGACCATCTGCAATGCACCAAAATGATGCCATCAAGGGCATCACCAGTAAAATGAGATGCGGATGGATCAGCAGATGTTTTTAGAGCCTGCTGCAGATGATTGGGCTGCATCTGCAGAGCTCTGATGCAGAGGGCGACCCCAGGCCAAAGAGTCTGCAGGGCCTGTGCTGAAATCTGGCTCTGGACCGCAGGGGGCGGATGCATCCGCACAGCACATATTCAAGCTGTGGTTGATGCAGGAGGATACTGGCTGCATGCACCGACTATAGCAGCTAACAGTGTGCAATTTTAACTGTCTACAAAGCCTGTGCCAAGCAGAGCCTGTCCCAATCTGGCTCTGGACAGCAGGTGGCGGATGCATCTGCACAGCATGCTCTCAAGCTGCTGTCAATGTGAGAGGAGCCTGGCTGCATGCACCGATCATAGCAGGTGATTGTCTGTAATTTTAACTGTCCACAGAGCGTGTGCCAAGCAGAGCCTGCCCCAATCTGGCCCTGGACAGCCGGTGGCGGATGCATCTGCATGGCACACTTTTAAGCTGCTGTGGGTGCTGGCAAGGGCTCTCTGGGTTCTAAGGAGCCTGGCAGCTGATGGTGTGCAAGTTGAACCATCCACAGAGCCTATGCTGAAATCTGGCTCTGGACCGCAAGGGGCGGATGCATCTGCACAGCATGCTGTCAATGCAGGAGGATCCTGGCTGCATGCACTGATCATGGCAGGTGAAGGTGTGCAAGTGGAATGGTCTGCAGAGCCTGTACTGAACAGGGCCTGCCCCAATCTGGCCCTGGACAGCAGGTGGCGGATGCATCCGCATGGCACACGTTTCAGCTGCTGTGGGTGCTGGAGAGGCCTACCTGGGTTCTAAGGAACCTGGCAGCATCTGAGAAGCTTGCGTTCTATGTTTATCCTACGCATTAAGGTTCTGAGCAACCAATTTAGCAATCCAGAAACAATGCAGAGCATCTGCACAGCCCAAGCACTGAATTGGCCCAACTAACACTCTTTGTTTGCTGCACATAGAGGTCTTTGAAGCAGCTATAATCATTTGGGAGTCAAAAGCACTTGCATACATTGGCTACAGAAGGCTCAAGTCCACAGTGAAGCAATATATACAGGCTAGAACTGAAAAAATAAAAGAGCAAGAAATGCGGAGGGTTCCGCACTGGAGAACAGTCACATGACATGGTCCGTGGATGGCCTGCATGATGGCATCACAACGATCACGGGGAGAGCCAGGAGCGGATGGATCCGCAGCTGGTTACAGGGCTTGTTGCGGATGCTTGGCACCCATTTGCGGAGGTTTTGGTGCGGAGGATGGCCAAAAGTGCGGAGGGTACCCCCCTGTTAGGTACCCAAATCAGTCGAATTTTGACCCCTAACAGGGGGGGGTACCCTCCGCGGCGGATGTTCCTTAGGTGGAAGCTTTCTCAGCCGGACGACCGAATCGTTGGGTATCGAGCCTTCTTCCGGATCGAGGATTATGGACTGTACGACTCCCCGGGCGCCATTTGTGAGATCGAGGTCCGTCTCGATATTGCTCGTCACCAGGACCTGCATGCCAACAGCAAGTTCCAAAGTGTAAGGTAGGTCTCTCTCCATCGACTTTTGTACACGTTTCTTTGTGGACAAGTGTTCAGCTAAAGCATAGCGTTCAGCCAACGTCAACGGCTGTCCACGGTACCTATCTTCTGCCGGGCAGATGAATATCTGGCGCTTCTGCTCTCGGCAAACTTTCCGGAGGGCCTCTCCGTTCCATGGGAGGCGCACACCATGCCTAGGGGTCACCTGCGTCATGTTAAATCCGTGTATGATTGCTGTGGGAGGGTCTCACTCACCAGCGTCGTCTCTTTCCAACGTTCAATTTCAGGTGCCTGGCCGGGTCGAATCACCAACGTACGCAACATGGCTAGGTGGTGATCTTGAACGCGCCCCATGCGAAGGTGTCGAAGGAAATCGAGCCAGATGTGATCCGTGACTCTCATTTGTTGTTTCAAAATCACCACCGTGCTGAACTCCTCATATATCGCCCTGCCCAGTTTTGCGGCCAGTCCATCGCGATGCGTCGCCGGATAATACAAGGCTTGGGTCGGAGACGCTGCCACCGGAGGGAACTGGTGGAAATCGCCACAAAATATGACACTGATGCCTCCGAAAGATTTGTCAGTGCTCGAAGCTTTGGCGATGCCGATATTCCGGGACAACTGCGAAAGGAAATCCTTGCTGATCATGGAGATTTCGTCAATGATGAGGTACGAGTAACCCCTCCAAAAGTCTTGTAACCGCGCCCTGCTGGCGTCACTCATTTTGCCGCCTGCAGAGATTGCACCGATGATATGAGTAGTCTTCCCGTCGATTAACGATGCTGCAATGCCCGTGTAGGCTGCTTTGATCAGCCGTCCTTGGGCACCAACGCTGTCGAACGTGCGCGTTATTTTCGAGATTACTTTGGACTTCCCTGTCCCCCCTTCGCCGTGTATGAGCATGCGTAGTGGAGGCACCTCATCGCCTGCGAGCGTCCTTTGCAAATGCCACACGACGATGTCGTATGCGCGTTGTTGGTCAGGTTGTAACACGAAGTCTGCTTCCAGCGTTTGGACAATGGATTCGTCAAACTGTTCAGAACTTGATGCACATTGATTGGCCACCATCGCGGACGACAATGTGATGCGTTCGACCGAAGGCTCGATGAACACCTGGTGGGCTTCCAGCATGGATCCATCTCGTGAAGCTGCTTGTTCTTCATCAGGCATCGCCGGGAATCCTCCGTTCTGGACGTGCAAAATTCGATCCATTTCTTTACGCCATTCGATGAGTTTCACGAGATCATCGCCAACAGCATGCGCGACATGCTCCGATATACTGGGCTCGACACTCCAATCCAGCGCTTCTCCAGTTGGGAAGATTTTCGTCAGTCTGGCAATTTCGAGTGCCATTTGCCCATGTGAGTTTTCACGTGCAGACATCTGGCCGTTTATCAGCGCTTGCACGCTCTCTTCTGTGATGTATGCGTCTCGCTCTGGCACTTCGCAGTCTTCACCGAGAAAGAGTGTTTCGTCCCCATTTGGAAGAGTGTCCCCACCAAACGAATCTGCCATTTCGTTGTTGTCTTTTGCTGCGAGTGCCGCCGACTGGCACTGGTGATAGTATTGAATATTTGCAAGTATGTCTTTGATGCGAGGCGAACTTGATTTGTAAAAATCTTCGAATGCTGTTGCCCATGTCTGCCCGCCCGTCTTGAGGTCCTCTTGTAGTATCCTCCAAGGTTTCAAGAGCATCAGCATACACGCATGATAGAAGTCAGCTTTTTCATCGTCGTCGCGTCGGGGGAACCAAGGGCCAATGAAATTGGGAAGCGTGTTGTGGGTATTCAAACGGATGATGCGGTGCTTCTGTGAATGGCTCGGATGACCGCGTTGGTAACACACACGCATGTTTCTGGGGCGCCCGCGCTTTGGCCGAGCGTCTGCAGGTGACGTGTCTCCTAGGTCGACGCTTTCGCGCTCCCGCTGAGACATGTCACCCTCATAAGTGTCCACGAAAAAATCCAACATGTTGTACGTTGACAAAGCATCACCGCGCAACGTATAGTCTGTAACTTGAGATTTGACAAACACATGTCCCGCAGAATTGAGACTGATCGTGACATTTTGAGTGTCGACGCCCTAGAACAGTAATGTCATGGACAGGCGATAGTGGCGCAAAGATGCTCACCTCACTGTCGGTGTCGTCTGACATAGACGGGTTTGTGTCGCTGTCAGCCTGGGCTGGGACGTTGGAGGCGGAACGCGTTCTGTCATGACGATGTGTGAGCTAAGGAGGACCGCAGCATTGACATGTAGACTGACTGGATGCATTTCAAATCGGGGAAGCGGTCGAACAAGGTGGCCAGGAAAGAACTCCAATATATGGGCACATAATTGTGCGAACGATAGTTGTCACCCCATCCCATCAACACCTAAGGAACATCCGCCGCGGAGGGTACCCCCCCCTGTTAGGGGTCAAAATTCGACTGATTTGGGTACCTAACAGGGGGGGTACCCTCCGCACTTTTGGCCATCCTCCGCACCAAAACCTCCGCAAATGGGTGCCAAGCATCCGCAACAAGCCCTGTAACCAGCTGCGGATCCATCCGCTCCTGGCTCTCCCCGTGATCGTTGTGATGCCATCATGCAGGCCATCCACGGACCATGTCATGTGACTGTTCTCCAGTGCGGAACCCTCCGCATTTCTTGCTCTTTTATTTTTTCAGTTCTAGCCTGTATATATTGCTTCACTGTGGACTTGAGCCTTCTGTAGCCAATGTATGCAAGTGCTTTTGACTCCCAAATGATTATAGCTGCTTCAAAGACCTCTATGTGCAGCAAACAAAGAGTGTTAGTTGGGCCAATTCAGTGCTTGGGCTGTGCAGATGCTCTGCATTGTTTCTGGATTGCTAAATTGGTTGCTCAGAACCTTAATGCGTAGGATAAACCTAGAACGCAAGCTTCTCAGATGCTGCCAGGTTCCTTAGAACCCAGGTAGGCCTCTCCAGCACCCACAGCAGCTGAAACGTGCGCCATGCGGATGCATCTGCCACCTGCTGTCCAGGGCCAGATTGGGGCAGGCCCTGTTCAGTACGGGCTCTGCAGACAATTCCACTTGCACACCTTCACCTGCCATGATCAGTGCATGCAGCCAGGATCCTCCTGCATTGACAGCATGCTGTGCAGATGCATCCGCCCCTTGCGGTCCAGAGCCAGATTTCAGCATAGGCTCTGTGGATGGTTCAACTTGCACACCAATAGCTGCCAGGCTCCTTAGAACCCAGAGAGCCCTTGCCAGCACCCACAGCAGCGTAAAAGTGTGCCATGCAGATGCATCCGCCACCTGCTGTCCAGGGCCAGATTGGGGCAGGCTCTGCTTGGCACACACTCTGTGGACAGTTAAAATTACAGATGATCACCTGCTATGATTGGTGCATGCAGCCAGGCTCCTCTCACATTGACAGCAGCTTGAGAGCATGCTGTGCAGATGCATCCGCCACCTGCTGTCCAGGGCCAGATTGGGACAGGCTCTGCTTGGCACAGGCTTTGTAGACAGTTAAAATTGCACACTGTTAGCTGCTATAGTTGGTGCATGCAGCCAGTATCCTCCTGCATCAACCACAGCTTGAATATGTGCTGTGCAGATGCATCCGCCCCCTGCGGTCCAGAGCCAGATTTCAGCACAGGCCCTGCAGACTCTTTGGCCTGGGGTTGCCCTCTGCATCAGAGCTCTGCAGATGCAGCCCAATCATCTGCAGCAGGCTCTAAAAACATCTGCTGATCCATCCGCATCTCATTTTACTGGTGATGCCCTTGATGGCATCATTTTGGTGCATTGCAGATGGTCCTTGAACATCCGCACAGGGATTTGATGGGTCCTGCGGATCCATCTGCACTCAAAATAATCTTTGCAGGCCCTGCTTCTTCTACGTGAATGGCCTGAAGAGCCTCTGAAACATTGTTCATCTGGTGCACAAATGGATCTGCACATTGGAATGGGGGCTGTGGCTCTGTCCCACAAGCCAATCTTATGCAGCATATATCTACTGACATTTTAGCCAGTGCACCGAGCTCCAGAGGCTCTGGGGACATCCAGAGCACACAAGGAAATGAACTGCTGATGCATCTTCAGCCAAATTGGCCAGCTAAATATGTGGCTGCTGCCCAGACAGCCCAAATACATTACATCACTTGAATGAATAATGCTATTGACCAATACAATTCATTACACAATTTCTGGAAGGGATATTGCATGGAATTTGATATGTAAGCAAGCCAAACAGTGATTCTCCTATCTGCAGATGCTATTTCAACCATCCGCAGAAGCATCTGCAGCAGCTAGTGACATGGTTGCGGATGTGTCACATGACCCTCCGCAGTCTCTTTGTGGGACATATCTGCTCAATATAGCCTCAATGGATGTCCTCTGTCTCTGCAGCATGTATCTAAGATGTCTTTTTTGCTACCTACATAGTTCTATCAACAGTAGGAAATTTATCTGTCCTGCACAGGATTTGAAAATTTTTTGCACCATAATTGTTGCTCATATACAGGTCGGATAAGCTCAGCTGTCCCACTAGGGAATCGAAACTTGTCAGAGACAAGCTATAAGCCAGCAGACACTGAACCTGGAAAGAACCTATCTGTACAATATAAAAAAAGTGAATTGAACATGATTCATATTTCAAGCTTTACACATTCATACATGTCTTGCAATTCAAGGGCCAAGACTTTAAGACACAGCATTCAATGTTTTGAGCTCAAAAAAGTCTCTTAGATCAAAAATATTTTCGATTTTGGTCAATGAGCAGGTTGAGCTCAGTACTACCATAGGAAACTGTGTTCAGGTCATGGCACTTTTCTGCATGACAAAAATATTTTCCTCAGTGAGCTGAATCGAGTTTATATTCGAGATGGGGCATATCTAAATAGCATCTGAACAAATTCTGAGCAGGATCGTAGCATCATAGCCTTCACAGGGACACAATTTTGAAATTTTGATCTTGCGGATGCATCTGCGGATCATTCAAACTTGCACTGAAGAAAGCTGTGATGCTACGATCCTGCTCAGAATTTGTTCAGATGCTATTTAGATATGCCCCATCTCGAATATAAACTCGATTCAGCTCACTGAGGAAAATATTTTTGTCATGCAGAAAAGTGCCATGACCTGAACACAGTTTCCTATGGTAGTACTGAGCTCAACCTGCTCATTGACCAAAATCGAAAATATTTTTGATCTAAGAGACTTTTTTGAGCTCAAAACATTGAATGCTGTGTCTTAAAGTCTTGGCCCTTGAATTGCAAGACATGTATGAATGTGTAAAGCTTGAAATATGAATCATGTTCAATTCACTTTTGTTATATTGTACAGATAGGTTCTTTCCAGGTTCAGTGTCTGCTGGCTTATAGCTTGTCTCTGACAAGTTTCGATTCCCTAGTGGGACAGCTGAGCTTATCCGACCTGTATATGAGCAACAATTATGGTGCAAAAAATTTTCAAATCCTGTGCAGGACAGATAAATTTCCTATTGTTGATAGAACTATGCAGGTAGCAAAAAAGACATCTTAGATACATGCTGCAGAGACAGAGGACATCCATTGAGGCTATATTGAGCAGATATGTCCCACAAAGAGACTGCGGAGGGTCATGTGACACATCCGCAACCATGTCACTAGCTGCTGCAGATGCTTCTGCGGATGGTTGAAATAGCATCTGCAGATAGGAGAATCACTGTTTGGCTTGCTTACATATCAAATTCCATGCAATATCCCTTCCAGAAATTGTGTAATGAATTGTATTGGTCAATAGCATTATTCATTCAAGTGATGTAATGTATTTGGGCTGTCTGGGCAGCAGCCACATATTTAGCTGGCCAATTTGGCTGAAGATGCATCAGCAGTTCATTTCCTTGTGTGCTCTGGATGTCCCCAGAGCCTCTGGAGCTCGGTGCACTGGCTAAAATGTCAGTAGATATATGCTGCATAAGATTGGCTTGTGGGACAGAGCCACAGCCCCCATTCCAATGTGCAGATCCATTTGTGCACCAGATGAACAATGTTTCAGAGGCTCTTCAGGCCATTCACGTAGAAGAAGCAGGGCCTGCAAAGATTATTTTGAGTGCAGATGGATCCGCAGGACCCATCAAATCCCTGTGCGGATGTTCAAGGACCATCTGCAATGCACCAAAATGATGCCATCAAGGGCATCACCAGTAAAATGAGATGCGGATGGATCAGCAGATGTTTTTAGAGCCTGCTGCAGATGATTGGGCTGCATCTGCAGAGCTCTGATGCAGAGGGCAACCCCAGGCCAAAGAGTCTGCAGGGCCTGTGCTGAAATCTGGCTCTGGACCGCAGGGGGCGGATGCATCTGCACAGCACATATTCAAGCTGTGGTTGATGCAGGAGGATACTGGCTGCATGCACCAACTATAGCAGCTAACAGTGTGCAATTTTAACTGTCTACAAAGCCTGTGCCAAGCAGAGCCTGTCCCAATCTGGC